ACTTGCCAATGTGAATGGTCCCAATAATGATAGCTGTGGTGAATAAAACAATCATACTAAAAATGAGAGACTGAAACTGAATATACTGATAACCAGTTCTTGCACAAACACACACATCTACTGATATTTCTGTAATTTATCCAATCTATAGATGTATTCATGAATATATATTTAGTATGTAGTACTTACGTGCTAAAGAAGGAGCGACTTGTGGGGTAGACTGTTGTGCTGTACGATAATTAACAGGCAGAGCCATTACTTGTTCTTTGGTCATTCACAACACTCCTGAAAAGAGAGAAACAGGTGATCTATTTTCAATTAACGCGTGTGAACATTACATTACTGATGTTCCAACCAAATTGGCAGGGATTTACTTGCAGAGACCATCTTTCCAGATAAACGACATAATTATTGTTTGTCACCTACAGTAAAATGGTATACACTTGCATCTTGCTATATTAAGAATAGTTTACAGTCTAATAAAAACAAATAGGTCAATTCACTATATTTATGCCTTTTGTTTCGGGAAACCTCCTGCCATGGAAAATTAAACCATTTCTGCAAAGCGAGTGATAAGCTAGACAAAATGCAGGTCCAATTTGAAGCGCTGCGCATAATATTTCATATTTACATTAAATATAATAGATTAATAAAATCCACGTGAAAATATAAAATATTGGCATTTATATTCTTCATTGTTAAGCTTAAGCATCTCTGAGCATTTAACATCAGTTTAATGGCTTTCTGTTATGAGGTGAGATAGCAATCAGTATGAGGTATCACTTCATCCCTCAATCATTTTTATGTTAGGCTTTACAAGAAGCTGTGGATGGGAAAAATAAGCATTTTAGGGACTTTCAAACCAATAAAGTGTACCTTTAATTGAAAAATAAATTATATTTACATAAGAAAAGAGATATTTCAAATGTATCTGTACTTAACTACTTAAAAAAAAAAAAAATGATAAAAATTTGCTCCTGAAGATATCAACACAATACATGTGCTTGTCATGTGTCAAGCTTTTCCCATACCCTGTTGGTACCCCGAACACGTCCTCAACATTCAAAAGATGCACTGGAGCTTCTTTTCCGTTCAAGTTTTAAGTCTTTGATGGGTGTATTTTCAACAAACTGAGAGCCAAACAGACACCTACTTTGAATTCTGCTGCTTAGTCTCATCTGCAAAAGATCAGGCAAGATTGCAGAAAGGATAGTTAATTTTTAGACCTTGCTTGCCCGAAAGCTAGTAGTGTAACAGGTTTTTGGTACGGTCTGCAATCCACTACCAAGCAAGACATAAACGTTATTTCTTGTTTTGGGTTCCGGACTCGGGAGAGTTTAGAAAAAAAAACATATGTACCCAACCTTCGGAATACCAGAATTTCTTGACTTGTATTATTCGACGTAAAATTTTCTGAGCAGCTTACCGATTTAAGATTGACAGTCTGCTTCTTATCGAAATCCCATCATTTTTAGTGTCAAACAAACAAAGGCGGCGAGGCGGTCCTGAAGAAACAAAGATGGAGTTTAATCTCGTACACGAGAGAAATCGAAAAATATTTATACAGGGCCATTATTTTGAAGTTGCAGTAAAAATCGTCTCTAAGACACAGAAAACAGAAAAAAACTTATAATAGTCACTGTCAAACACATTTGACAATTGAAATAAATACATGACCTTGGCCTAAAAATGGCGGTAAATACACATCGAAGCTAACCACTTGAAGCTAACAAACTAAATTTGATCGGACGAAGTGGTAAGTTGAGTACATTGTGAGAAGTACTATCATTCAGGTTGAAAAAAGAATCGAGTTTACTGAAGATTGAAAAAATAATGCGGGATAGGTGATTGTTTACTTTAGATGCTGCACTTGTGTTTCGACAGGAACATTCGACACAATGAATAAGGTCTTTTGCCGTTCCGTCTTTTGCTTATAATTCAAACCAATATCTGATTTATAAATCCTGTGATTTTCTTATTTAGTTTGATGTAGGATCTATAAAGAGAGAATCAGAATTATTTCATTAAAACGTAGTTGGTACGTTTAGAGTAATCACTAAAAAATAACTTAATTGTTTTAAAGGCCTAGCTAAGAGTGTGACCTACAATCATACCAAAGAAATTTTTCAACATTTACACTTTTCTCTTTATTGGTGCATATAAGTCAGTTGTGTGGCTTTATCGCTTCAGCATATATTTTTAAAGCAATATAATAATATTTTTTATGAAAAAAAAGTAAGGAGAATATTTAGATAAATGAGACACGTGTAGGTTTGTGCACGTTTTGGCAAAGGGTCACATGTATATAATGGCTACCCATTGACAACATTGTCATTCCAATCTCATTAAACTGACGCACTTGAATGCTTGAGGATTGATAAACTTATCATCAGGGACGTGCATTCTTACAGTCCGTTTCCGGATGACCTAAGCCAGATAGAGGCTCGATTTTAGGACTAGGTAAAACATTGGCTTGCGCCCATTACTCTCAATGTTAAATTGGCGAAGTTTGATCGTTCATATCAAACAGACCAGAGGACAATTACTTGTGACAATCACTTGGTCATATTCACTTGGGTTTTAAGCCTCAGTCAATGGGTCCCAGGAGGATTTTCTAGAGCTGATGGTGATTTTATTAGCGATAATACCTTAACACTCCTCTGACGGGCTGCAATTTCAGTTTACATCAGATACATGTTGTAATAGGCATATTTTATCATCTGTATTGAGTATATTCGTGATTAAATACGCGTGACAACTGTTTGTTGATATTCACTTATGTATTTAGCTCAGGGAAATGGCCATCAAAGGGATTTTCTAGCGTCAGTGGCGACTTTATCAACAATAGTGGTGTACTATTTTTTTCTACTGGGATACTATGACCAATACGTACCAGTTCATTAATATACAGTCAGAATTATTGTATGATAAAATCATTATCTAAACAAAGAAAACCATTATATTCATATTGCTTTTAGAGGTCTCAATTTGAAAGATTTGATAAGCTAGAAAAGGGGGTTGGGTAGCATTGCTCACCTGTCGTGTTCAAAGCAGGTGTCTCAAGTAATGCAATTAATGTGCTTTTAAAAAGAATTTTAATTTGTCACTGCTGTGGTTTTCATTTAAATTTCTTTTTCTACTGTTGTCTGGGTTATGTTTGAAGAGACTATGAAATACTTTTTCAGCTTTTATAATATCTGCAAAAACGTAAAAAAAAATTAATTAGAGGCCTGCCAAAATGATTTTTCATGAATAAATTGATTCATTCATAATTATCCAAGTAGACAAAAAGTTTTAACCAAGTTCACTCAGCTATAATGCTACCGGAAAGGGAAGGGGGGGAGGGGGGGATAATAATCACCGGTAGCTTACAAGTTTTTATCCTTAGTTTTCATAATTGGAAATAATTTGAAAAACAACAATAATGCTCTTTAAATATTCTATTTTTCTTTATTTTAGAATGAAAGCCTCACTTAAATCTTTATAAGTTGTCAAAATCTACAAATCATTTTTGACTGTGATGCTAAATAAAGTTCAGTGTCTTTTTTCAGAAAATAATATAAATTTATAAGGTAGTGATTTCATTTTCATTTTAAGAAAATCAGACTCAATATCACAATATGAATATAAAGTATGATCTATAAAAATCCGAATTGAATGCATATTTAACTGTCAAAAATCACTTTGAATTCTTAAACAAAATGCAAAATGAAAGATACAATAAAACTTGTTGACTTTTAATTTACATTTTATTTCTATTTATAAGGTAAGAAAGGAGTTATAAAATTCCTTGACATACTCTGTAAAGCTGCATTCAAAATTAACATTTGTACAGTAAAAATGAATTGGAACTTTTATGATATAAAACCTGTAAGCAAACATAACAGTAATGTCCAAAGGATAAAAACACTAAATCCATAACGAAGATTTGATTGCTGAGTGTTTTTTTATAATTGCTGTAAACTTAAGCATGGGTTAATAGATGTAACTCAGCAAACAGCTCCACCTGATTGTTTCTTCCAGTTCACATGTGCATTGATAGCCTTTCTTGTGTTCTATCCTCTTGTTGAAAGTGTGCAACATCAAGAAGAAAAAGTATTAGTAATATGTTCCAATAGCACATTATTGCCATTTTCACACTTCATAGTACAATAATTAAATGATTTATTGAGTATGTAAAAATTTAATTCCTGTCCATAATCTCAATTCAGTCTGCAGCTATATGGGTATTTAAAATTACTAGAAAAAACTTGTTAAAATTCTCAAAATGGCATGTACTTTCAGTAATAAAATCAGACGAGTAAATTGTCATTAGAGCTTTCTTTCAGCCCCCTTTTTTCAAAGACAAATACAATAACAGCACCTGTGAAGATCATATCTGTTTTAGTTCTATTTGCTACAATGACACCAACTGATAAGATCACTTTCTTCCAATTAAACCACCTCAAAGGGCTCTATGATTGTTTGAAGATCCAGGTAAGCTGTTCTGTTCAATCGCTGTCAGTGGACAGATTCATCCGATAACAAAGCCATTGCAACTCCTTACCTGAAAAACAATCAGAACTGTAACTGCAGCTCATATAATTACAGTGTAAGAGAGGTGCATTTCAATCGCTGATAAAATCGGCATCACTGCTAGAAAAGGTCCATGATGGCCATTTCTTGACGCTAAATACCTATGTTGATAAAATTAAACAGTTGTCAAGGTTAATTATCTACGGTGTGAAAGATACAGACAATCAAAGTTGATCATTTTAACATTGGGAGTAATGGGGCTTACCGAATCGGCGATTGTTTTACCCTAGCCCCGGCCGTGGCGGCCATCTTGTGACGTCATGCCGACTGTAAGAATGTGTCCTTCAGAAGTTTAGTAACACTAAGGGTGGGGCTGTCCTTAGGGGTTTTTCAAATGAAGTTATTGAACAATTTGAAGAAGTTTTTCATGGATCCCTTTAAAAAGCCAGGTATGAATGTGAATATTTTCTTTTGTTATCATGATGTTAATTAATTATCAATATTAAGTCAACACCCAGTCAATGGAAGAGGTATCCATGGGGTGTGACTTTTGAAGGTGATTATCATAAACTCTTGACAAAGTGGTGAAGTGCAGGGCATATGCAATGGCTGGTCATACATAGTTTTGCAATATTATGTGTTCAATAATAAAGACATTTGCAATGCTGAGTGCTCCATTAATGTTAACTAATGACAGTTAAAGGTACACTGCACTTATTTGAAAATGCCCCACAGTCATATTTATATCCTGCAAAAAATTTTGTTTCTCAATTCAGACCTTGAAGACAATAAACTCCTTCAAGTTAAAGTTTATCTGAAACATGCCTAGTGTAGTTTTTATCTTTTGTATTAGAAATACATGACACAAGGCCATGATAAAAAACACATGATGTTTTCTTGTGTAAAGTAAAATCAGTGCAATGCCTGGTGAAGGTCAGGAATGCAGATGTTGTCCAGGCCAGTCATTTAGAACTAAATTATTGAATTTAAAATGATATGAAACATCGAATCCATTAGGGCAGAGCAATGTTTCACCAGTAGTTTTTTCCCAGAAAATTTTTTTTTAGATAAATCCCATGCAGCGTGCCTTTTATAAAGGTATTGCCATTGGAATTGACAAGGTTTATGGCTTTCAAAGACAGTGGGAGCAGCAAATTACCTTTTCAGTGGCATTGATCAAATATTATAGTTTGAATAGTTTGATGTAATATGTACTAGTTAGTATACTTTGCTGTAGGATTTTCTATACACTTGGTAGATGATATTTCAAAGACAGTTGTCGTAACATAAGATTAAAATTGATTTAAATTTATAGAACATGAAACAGTCAATCTGAATTGTAATCCAAGTGTTAATGAGTTCGTGGTGTGCTTGTGATGAAGTAACCGTGGCTGACCTAAAGTGAAATGTTGATATGTTTTAGTGGTCGTGATGAAGCAACCATGGCTGACCTAAAAGTGAAATGTGTGAAGACGGACAATGGGGCACCGACTGATGCTCTAAAGGTAGTTTTTGAGGTAAGAAAAACCAGGATAGAAACTTATGAATTATATAAGAGCAAACTATGGCCAAAATAGGATTTTGTTTCTTGTTGCCACACAAAAACTTGCACAACACTCCTTTTTTTTTGTTTTTTGGAGACTGTCAACATGCATCCCCCAATTTGTCGGACATCAGGCTACATGATACAAATAAAAACATGAATTATTTTCGTCATTTACTCATGCTGACGTACAGAACATACATAAATTAAAGTACATACAGCTACATGGACTGATCTTCATAGCTACCAGTATAATGCCCCCACGTTGTCAGAGATAAAACAGCAAATCATTACAAAAATCTTATTATCCATCTTTCATTCACCTGACGTTTCATAAAGTTGTGCAATAGATCTCCGAAACTTTATTTACCTCTGTTAGTATTACTTTTGGTTGTTTATTTAGACGAGCGAATAATGAGACAAAATGCTGATTTGAATAAGAGCTGCAGGATCAAAAATTACTTAATAGCTTGCTGGGGTAGCGCTAGCAATTTTTTTCACTTAGCCAGATCACCACATTCTTGTCAATTTGTTATCAAAATAGTTATAATTTGGCTAAAACATGTCAAATCAAGCCCTTTTTCTTTAGCCAATTTAAGTCAGTTTTAGCATTTGGCTAAATTGGCGAGTGTTAGCGCTACCCCAGGCTTGGTCTTGATATTATGGAAACTGTTATTTTTGTATGAGTAGTAGAGTATGGTAGAAATGGGTGACAAACAAGGACAGATTAGGCAATCAGTGCACCTGACATACGCCAGAGAAGAGTGCACTGCTTTTGTGAAATTTTGACTTTAATTTATGTTCATATTTCAATTTTGCAAAAAAATCTTTTTCTTTTTCCAGTCACTAAAGGAGGCCGAGCTAGACCCAATATGGGTGAGTGAGATGGACTGCATGGCTGTGAACCAGAGAGAGAGGGATTCTATGTACATCATTGATCCATTTGAAGGCAGGGTTTTTGAACATCTGAAGAATGTGAACAACAGGTAAATAACTAAATAATGATAACCACATTCTCAAATTTAATGTTACACACATAAGGTTTGTCTTGCAAAGAAGACTACAAAGTCTGCTTCAATATCAGTTTCAAATTTTAAAGATTATTTACATAATTGGTAATTTTGTAGTGTACGGTACAACCCAATGACTTTTGTTTTGGAATTCACTTTAGAAATTCTTTACTAGTCTACTTTTTAATTACCTTCTATGACCATAACAATGCCAGCAATGACTTTTGCACCTTCCAAAAAAGCAAGAATTGATATATTGCGCTGCGCGCATGTCTGTAAGTCCAGTCATGCTTCAAAAAATTATGCCCATTTCAAAATGTTGACAGGCAGCTGTCTTAAGCTTGGGGTTGATGACCAAATGGGTACTTATTGTTTCCATGATGTCCAAAATGTGTTTTTTTCCTGTAATTAAGACATTCTGGTCACTTGCACTAGTTTTAGGCAAAATATTTTTAAAAGTATGATACTAGTACATCATATTTTGGTACTAATTTGCATGATTTGTACTTATGTTAATATTAGCATGCATACAGTGTCTCTTTGCCCCAAGGAATATTCCTGCCAAGTAGAAACTTGTACTTACCAGCATTTACCCCCTTAACAAGCCTTCTAAAACTTTTGCCTGTATCCACAGCAGGAAGGACATTTTAGATGGCAAAATGCTGATATTGCTACTGTAGTTTTGGACCAAGATCTATAACTGGACAGAAAAGAAAGGCAATTAATTTTGAGTCCTATTCACCCATGCTTGATTCTTATAGAATGTCTATGAATTAAATTTCATTTTGATAGATGATACAAAATGAAAATGCTGCTTGAATTTTGTTCTTGAAACTTGAGAGAATTTAGTAGTATGATATTATCTCTTTTCATTTATTATAGGTTATATGGTCCCCAGTGTCTGCTGGCATGCTTGAAAAATGCTGAGGTAAGAGATATTAGTAACCAGAAACTCAAATCTCACAAAACCTGTATGTAAAAATGGTGCAGACACCCAATTTTTTTTATTTCTTGGTGAAAAAAATAAATAACTGAGTATTAATCCAGGGTCCATACAGCCTTGAAAAATGCTTTAATTTAGCCCAGCACCTTGAATTCTGTTTGAGGCTTTAAACAGTACTTGCCACCAGGGTCTTGAAAAACAACAAATGACAAGATTTAACAATTTTTGTTTTTGTGCAATCCAACTATTTTAGTCGCAGATAAACATTGTTATAATTATTAGAATTGATCACTTAATCAAATATTTTAAACCTTTTAGTTTTGTACCTGAATATGGACAGGTTATTCATGGATGGGTAGAATACCCTTTAATCCCTTTTAAAACATAATTCAGTTTTATTCCTTACATATTTCATCATCAATGTGTTAAAATAAAAAGTGTAAAGAAATGATGTACAGTTCTAAATCTTAAGAAATCATTCTCATTTTCACTAAAAAATCCCTGAAAAGTACTTGAATTAGGGCCTCAAAAGTCCTTGAAAGTCATTGAATTTGTCATTAATGCTGCTGTATGAACCCAGTTAGCTTACAGTGTATTTCATTATGCTATATTCCAGGCTGCCCCAAGAGCTAAGCATCCAATATACACACTAGGCATGAAGAACCTGGTGATCAGTTGTACTGGAGTGGAGAAAAATGAAAGGGTATGCAATAGAACTGCAGAGGGAGAAATCCACATTAGCCAACCAGATGCTGGTTGAGACAGCAGTCTACTGGTCCTTTAGGACTTCTGGCTTCATGTTTAAATGACCAAAAGTAAAAATAGTAATCAGTAACTCCTTAAGGTGGCTGAATTGTGATGGTCTGCATTTTATGTTTACTAAACTAAGTTCGCTTTTGGCATAGGGTCATTGTAAACAATGCAGACTGGTTGACTTAATCGTCAACATTTTGCAGCATGTTATGGAAATCTATCAGTAATTACTATTATAGGGAATACTTAGATACATACAGGTTAAGATATATATTGATAATCTCTTTATCATTTAAAACTGATAATGGAAAAATGTTATATATGAAACTCTGCCATGAAAGTAACATTTGCAGGATAAACTAATGCAATTTGTCACTCTTATTTGACCTTGGCATTATTTTACTAGGAAAGACTCCATAACCTAGTAGAGCTAATGGGAGGGGAAGTGAGCAGAAATTTCACCCAAAGTGTCACACATCTGGTGGCTGGAGAAGTAGGTTCAAAAAAATATTTGGTAAGTTTAAGGAACAGCAAATGTTGTTTGCTGAATTATCTTCTTAGTAATGATGCAGATGGAGAAGCCCCCAAAAGGACCATTGTAAAATAAAGTTCATATATTTTGAAGGCTTTTTCAAATGGATTATGGTTGTTTTAACTTATGTCTGTTTACCTAAAATGATTTGTTGTGCAATTCCATATAATTGATGTGTTTTAGTTTTGCAGCCACTGGCAATAACTTATGCTAATTCTGTTGAGTTTGCACGTCTTTGTTCCAGGTTGCCGGTGGTTTAAGTGTTGCCATCATGTTGCCACAGTGGGTGGACAAAGTATGGGAGAAGAGTAAACAAGAGTGAGTACCATGTCTGTGCCACCAAAGTGCAGATAGAGGCTGGGGAGTTTGAGACAACCACTGGTTACTTCTACATCTTATAATCTACAGACATCCTTTTATCCTTGGTAATGGTGACCATGCTGACATGTCTGGAGGTTGTTGTAGATATTGTCATGGTATAGACCCATGTATCAGTGTAACCAGACTTATGTTATGAATGATGATGTTTGTTGTAGATATTGTCATGGTACAGACCAATGTATCAGTGTAACCATACTTATGTTATGAATGATGATGTTTGTTTTAGGTATTGTCATGGCTCCGACCCAGAGTTCCAGGCATACAAGTGCCCCCTGTTTAAAGACCTGGTTATCACTGTGTCAGGGATCTCCAATGATGAGCGTGCAGAGGTGAAGCAAGTAGTAGAGGCCCAGGGTAAGAATGCCAGCATTGGTCACTGATAGTAACAGATCAACACTTATAAGGCCAATCAAAGTCTCATCAGTAACATTTAGTTTTACAGCCCATATACCCATGTAATTCTCATCAAACTTATGATGTGTTTATAAGTAGAATTTCTCAAATACTAGCTTAATGTAATCAGAAGGGCATTTTTAAAGCAATTGTGCATTTTCCCCTCAGGAGGCAGATATACTGGTGAAATGAAGATTAATGATTGCACACATCTCATTGTAAATGAGCCTAAAGGTAAGAGTTGTTGCTAAGTGAAGGGGGGAGGGGAGGGAAGAAGATTGGGGTTTTGATCTGTTACAGTATACATTGCTGTTTATGGACTAAGAGTATATGCATGGTACACTAGAACAAAACCTAGATAAAAAAACTGAGATACCCATGTCACTCCATAGAGATTCCAGCTTGTAGTTCAGTCATCACACTGCAAACTTTTGCCTTCAGTATTTATTGCTCACCAACCTAGGCCTGAAATCAAATAATGGTTTTATTAAACTTCAGTATAACATCTTTCGTGTTACATTCCTAGACTTGGCTTTTGACCTAATAGGTTATATCAATACATTTTTATAAATAAAATGCATTGATTTTAAGGATCATTCATTTTGTTCTCCAGGTCAAAAGTATGAGTTTGCAGTAAAATGGAAGATCCATATAGTATGCCTGGCCTGGCTGTTTGAGTCTGTGCAGAATGGGTATTGCATGGATGAGAATAAGTTCAGGGTTGGAAATATGCACAATGCAAAAACACCAGGCACAAAGAAAACTTCAGGTAAGTATTTCATTTGGAGTACATAACTTCCCTGAGTGGGTGTGAGGGTCCTACCAGTAGCACTATGTGATGTTACTGTGTGGGTGGGGCTTGGCAAATAGCTCTAGGTGATGCCACTGTGTGAGTAGGCCTGCCAATAGCTCTACATGACTTCACTGGGTGGAGGGGGCATACCAACAGCTCTTTGTGATGTCACTGAATGGGTGGACCCAACAATAACTCTTGGTGTTGTCACTGGGTGGGCAGGTCTTGACAATTTTTGAAGAAATGTTGCCATTTTACTTCAGACATTAATTCACATACAATTGTCTCAGGTGCAGGTAAAGATTGAAAACAGACTTAATACAATTATCATTCCTTATATTTTTTCAGTGGTGTTTGTTTTTTATTTAGGCTCTGTATTTTGGGGGGTTTTTTTGCAGTAAAGTCTGGGTCTGGACTGTCAGAGGATCAGGATTGTATGTTGCTGTATTATTTTGTCAGTGCTCATGTTTCCGCTGATGCATGTTGTGTGTAGATCTGGCAGATTTGTCTTTCCTTTATTGCAGGTCAGCTGCCTTGTATCACAGATATGAGTAACATCACTAATGTGTCAGTCACATCCAACATTGACGAAACTGCTGTGATTACCACTAATCAGACCAGAATGTCTCATTCCAATAAATCCCTAATCAAGGAACCAGAAAGCAAGGATCCTTTAGATGACCTAGATCTCTCTTCCAGAATGGGAGATGCATTCTTAGATGGCTGTAAGGTAAAAAAAAAAAAAAAAAAAAAACACAATGAACTCGTGGTAGTTATGAATAAAGATATCTTAGTGTTAGGGTAAATATTTTAGCTAAACCACTGTTAAATTTTAAGAGTATTTATTGTCATATTTATACAAAATATGATATATAAATCTATTTAATATCAATAAAACGGTTCTGTCAGTTTTCATTATGGATTCAAAGCTATTCTTGTCTTCCGTTGTAGCAGTACAAATACCATATGGTGAAAAAAAAATGTCATTACACATCATTCAGCAGTAAAATTTTATGTGCAGTTCTTGGTTGACATAGTCTTTGTTGAGCCTTACTAACAATGACGTCTATGTTGATGTGCCATTTATAAGGGCATCAGAGATAGCAAAAAAAAAATCTTACACTTTTTCAATCTTTTATCGAAAGAGGGTCTAGTAGGTCTGTTTTCAACATTTAGCTCAAGATATTTTTCAGAACACCATGGGTTAATGGTAACCTATGTGTTTACTTACAAACAAAATGATGTGAAGGATTGTAGAGAATTTTCCTCTGTGAGCCTACATTGTTCATTTACTATGGTCGTTAACCTATCTCTGCCTATTTCAAATTAATAGCTGTGAGTGAACATGTATATGATCTGTTTGGTTTTTCCTGGATTCTGCAAAATACAGAGCTAGTCTGAGTTATGTGTTATTTTATTTACTTTTGCCATCTTACCCAAAATGCAACAATGCAGAGTTTCCTTGAAGTACCAAAGGACTCCTGGTTGACCTGTTTAAGATCAAGGTTATAATTTCAGTTGTTTCTGAGTGGTTTCAAGAGTTCTCAGATAGAGAAGCTACGCAGAATCATCAATACAGGAGGTGGAACAAGGTATGTCAGAGGATAGGCCAGTGAAAATGATTTTAAGTTGCATATTTCACTTGTTTAAATTCAGTATCAAGAAAATATGAACATTTTCAAGAATTTTTTAAAAAATAATTCCATTTTATGACCAGCTGTTTCCAAAACTTAGCCCTTACTCATTTCCTTGATCAGTTTGTGAAATTCATTTAAATACTTGCCATTCTCAGCCATTGTATGATTGATCTCTGATGCCATGTTTAATTTCAATGACTGATGCCATGTACACATTTTAAGCATAGTTTATTTAAGTCAACTAAATTCTGATGTATCAGATAAGACTTGTGCATTTAAAAAAGCTGCCTTTGTCTTCAAGTAATCTAGTGACTTGTCAGGCCAAATTTGGGTGTTGGTGATGATTTATTAAAATGTTAACATTGTCCTAGAAATTTTACATTGAAGTTTGAGTGTTATTTATTTATTTATTTATTTATTTATTTATTTATTTATTTATTTATTTATTTATTTATTTATTTATTTATTCAGTACTTTGTCAATGTCTCAAGCTATCTCAATCAATCATATGCATTTGATATTTTTCAGATTTAACCAGCTGAATGATAATGTGTCCCATGTTATTGTTGGGGAGGCTGTTGAAGAACATATAAAGCAAATCATGGAGATGAAAAGCAGGTACAATAACTGTCTTAAAGATACTGTTTGTAGTTTTTCAGTATATGCTAGTGCAGAAATATTGTTACGGTAATGTTATGAGATAATGCTGTTGTATCAAAAAACAGTGGGGTGACAAGATGCAGTGGGTTGCAATAACTGGCACTACTGGGAGTGTCATATTTTGCTACTGCGATGACTTTTTCACCTATGATGCGCTTTGCAACCAAAGAAAAGCATGAATATGCTTTTGGCAATCACAGTTCAACTGGCTTCTCTTTAAGTCACTAAAACAGTTTTAAAAAGCTACATAGAGAAATAGAGCTGGGATGGGGATGGTCTTACCTTTTACACTGAAACCATAAGCCGTATCTGGTGGGGTTGCATTATTAGGAGCTTGAAATTTTAAAGGTTGATAAACCTGTCATTTAGATAAAACATGCTAATGGCTGTCCCTGAGGGTGCAAGAGTCAATTTTACACATTGTTATTTTCACTTTTATAATCTTTCATTAAACTATAACAGTGAGTGAATTTTAAAAAAATGAGTGTGAAACACCTTTAAAGGAAAGTGTAAAAGGATACATTCAGCACACTAATGGTTTTGAAGGAGATGGGTATCCATTGTATATTCCTGCACTTCCCTTAGAGACACCATTCCCTAGATATCTATGACAAAGCATGGATCCTACATACTTAAAGTTTAATATTCTAGGAGGAGATAGCAGAAATAACAATGTGAAAAATCATCAATGAATTCTCCCCCCCCCCCTTCCCGCCAGGGACAACCCAACTCCCAGGTTCTCAAGAATTCTGAAATGCCCATGCACTCCCTGAGGATAGGTCTAGTTTAAATGAAGAATTTCAAATGTGAAAAGAAAATTAGAATCTTTCACTCTCCAGGGACATCCCAACCCCCAGGTTCACCAAAATTCAGTAATGCCCATGCATTTTCCTGATGAAAGGTATATGAAACACCATATTTCAGATTTCTCAGTCTTATACTCTAGAAGGGGAGAGCAAAATTTTTAACAAACCCACAGATGGACGCATGGATGGGTGGGATTATATGATCACCAACTTTAGTTGCAGAATCAACCACCTCACAAACAACCCAACTTTATTTACACAAAGTTTAATGGGACCCTAAGGGACATTTCCCTGGTAGTTGATTTATCAATCATCACTCAACCTCACCAAACATTATATAATTGTTTTGTTGATTCAATTGTGTGATATCCTACTTGTCCAGTTGTTATTTCAGGCCTCATGTGGTGTCCTGTGACTGGCTGGTGCAGTGTTTTCAGCAGGGGATCCGTGTGGATGAAAACAAATTCAGGTTTTCATACCTGCCTCATCTTGACCAAACAAGCCAAACAGTGTTAAGGTACACATAGGGCGCATTCCCATAGTTTTTCGATTGATCTATCCCCGTGGGAAGTCTCACTAGATTACTGTCAGATAATCCGGCTTAAATGTCCGTCTTGCCTACTACAAGCTATAAGGGGGTAATTAACTTTCGTGCCCGCTTGGCTGACAGCTATTTAGTGTGAACCCCCAGGGAGTTAGGTCGATCTAGTTGGATCGATCTAATCTCTGGGAATGGGGTCATAGTGTTTGACCTTTTGAGGTATGGTATGAGGTGCCCAAAGTTATGGCAGAAATAGCTGCTGTCTGAAGGAAAGGCATTTCTGTATGGACAACAATATCAGTTATTATCAGCATGTTGGCACACATTTTTGTTACGTCATTTGCTTATAAGTTGGGTTTATTTAAGTAAAACAACTTACTTACACATTTGTAAGTCGTAAGTTTGAATATAGTTGTACCCAAAGAGGCCTAAAGTTAGTGTTTAATCAAAAGAAAGTGTTGTTATTGACACCAGTGGAAGTGTTGTGATTGACACCCATGATCATGATCGAAAAGGGGTGCCACAGTAGAAGGCAACCAAAGTTTGAAGGTGTTCAACCTAGTTGCATTTTCAAAGATCTCACCTAGCATAAGATCAACAGATGGCAATTGCCAACGATACTCTGTACAAAATACCAGAGCCTTAGCCAACAAACTGGAGGAATTCAGCCTCATAATGCAGAATGAATATGTTCATCAACATTTGATTTTTTTCAATATACAGTTAAGCGATTCATGTACTTTATGAACTCGAAGGGCACACGTCCCATATAAAGTATGTAAAGCTTTTTCTGGATTGAAATTTTACAGCTTAATGTAGACTTATGCAAAAGATGAAGATTGGCCATATGTGCCAAATATCACAGCTTAGTTTTCACTAGTAAAGTGATCAGCATTTGAAGTTAAAAATATTGGTTATTTAGTCATTGCATGCATGGCCATCAGAACCCCAGTGCTGTCAACTTCTTTAGTGTATCACTTTTTACTCCACCATATCAGGTCAGGCTCCAGAACTCCAGCAGAGCTGGAAAAAACTGCTGCTACTGCTGTGCTGCAGGAAGATGAAGATATGGACAACATAATTAGCCAGTATCTCCCTCAACACAGTGGTGAGCTTCTATTTTTGACTATAGTATATATTTAAATGTTATCCTTTACAGCCCGGTGGTAATAAAGCATAATCCGTTTGTCTAATTCAGAACAAGAGGCATTGCTAGGAGTCCCTGCGTGGCACTTGTCCAGTCTGCGTGAAATATCTTAGTGCATGGCAATTAAAACCATAATTTTATTGTAATTTTGTCATTGGCCGCATTCAGAACAGTGGACTAACTAGTCCACAGGTCAAATATGGTGACCCACTAAATAGCTTGCTAATCTGCTTATAGACACTGAATAGATTTCCCTGTGGGGGAAGTATGCAAGTGTGTCGGCTATATTTGACCCTCGGACTAGTTAGTCCACTGTTCTGAGTGCAGCCATTTTCCTTAAACGTGGATGGCTGGTTCATTTGTTTGATTTCTTCCAATTTTAAGATATGACAGATGAGAGTGCACTGCTAAAAGTGATTGAACAAGAGGAGGCTGAAATGCAGCAAGATCAAGGTCAAGGAGAATTAGATGATGCAGATATGACTGAAATTGAAGGTCTGGTTTGAGAACTTTTAATGCATGAACTATATTAAGATCTAACTACAAGAAGTAAATAACTGGCAACATAATTGCATACCTGTCAAGAGTGGAGTCTGCCAGCCTGAAAGTGAGAAGATTTTCACTTGTGAAAACTGCTGCACCAGCACAGGATTCAAACGTCTTTGCATGTGACAAAAGTTTGCTGTTTGAAATAAACAAATTAGCAAAATTACAGACATGCTGAAACTGTCGGTCCGATCGGTCATGACCAGGAAAATTTGTCTGGACAGGTAAAAAATTGGACTTGGTCGGTCCAAAGGACCGACAAGAGTTTTAAGAACCACATTTGAATTTACAGTCATCTTTCGACATACTTCACTTATAAAATTACATAAAACCCAAAGCGTTTTTCCCTTCCATTTCAAAACTATCACATTCAAAAACAAAGTAAGCTTCCTAATCGTACTGGTAGTATCTGTCTCAAATGTATAGAGTGATTTTTGGTCCAACAAAAATTCATCGATCGGTCCGGCAAATTTTTCATTACTGCCGCTCCAAATGTCTGGCCATTCTAAAGAGTTTTCAGCATGTCTGAATTAACAAAGCCTGTCAATGTTTACTGTTTGGTTGATTTGATTAATTTGCTTCCTGGTGTCATTTTGATAAAGAATATTCATAGGAAATGTTCTGTTGGTTGTATGTTTTATAATGTAAATCCATTGGACTTTGCTTAGAATAACATTTATTTTGTCGTTATTTTAAGGAGATTCCCTTTGTATTTATAGTGTTATTTGTGGTCCCATGGTCCACCCCTCCCCCACTCTTAAAAAGGAAAATACTCCATGAGTGCTAGTGTAAATGTTATTGCAAAATGCATTCAAAACCATTAACATATATAGGTTAATTTTAGGTAATGCATATGAGAAAACCCATGTTTTAGGGCAAAATTAGCAGACATAATATTTTAACTTTCACTTCCGCTTTTTGACAGACATTTCTAATTTCTCAAAAGCAAGGCAATGGCACTCATCTATAGGAGTCATTTTATAGCCACATGAAAATTGGAATTTTGTTGTTATATTTGTAGAATGGGCTCAATCATAATGTTTCTTGGTTATAATTGAAATTTTCAGGTAAAATAAATGTACTGTCATATCATAAGAAAACTGGTTCTGGGCCTATTAATTAGCTTAATTGATATTTGGTGGGAATTACAGGCGAAAGCATGGCAAAATCCAATGGGCGTTTTTTTTTTTTTTTTTTTTTTTTTTTTTTTTTTTTTTTTTTTTGNAATGTTCTGTTGGTTGTATGTTTTATAATGTAAATCCATTGGACTTTGCTTAGAATAACATTTATTTTGTCGTTATTTTAAGGAGATTCCCTTTGTATTTATAGTGTTATTTGTGGTCCCATGGTCCACCCCTCCCCCACTCTTAAAAAGGAAAATACTCCATGAGTGCTAGTGTAAATGTTATTGCAAAATGCATTCAAAACCATTAACATATATAGGTTAATTTTAGGTAATGCATATGAGAAAACCCATGTTTTAGGGCAAAATTAGCAGACATAATATTTTAACTTTCACTTCCGCTTTTTGACAGACATTTCTAATTTCTCAAAAGCAAGGCAATGGCACTCATCTATAGGAGTCATTTTATAGCCACATGAAAATTGGAATTTTGTTGTTATATTTGTAGAATGGGCTCAATCATAATGTTTCTTGGTTATAATTGAAATTTTCAGGTAAAATAAATGTACTGTCATATCATAAGAAAACTGGTTCTGGGCCTATTAATTAGCTTAATTGATATTTGGTGGGAATTACAGGCGAAAGCATGGCAAAATCCAATGGGCGTTTTTTTTTTTTTTTTTTTTTTTTTTTTTTTTTTTTTTAAATGTTACAAGAGTGAATATAGCTGAAGCTTTGTTACACTGAGTTACACTGACAACTTTCATTTTCATCTAAGAGCACTGGTTGTGGCTTGTTGTCATGAACAAATAGCCACCTTAAAAGAATATATTTTTGTGCTTGTATTCAATTGTTAAATTGCATAATATGTTTCTTTTTTTATGAACACAGTTACTTATGATTGTAATGACTGTTCCATTGGTATAAAATCATGTTAAACGGATAATATTAATCAAAACTTTCATTGTATATTATATTTGATTATTATATTTTTTAATATGATATTTTATATTGCAGGTGAACAGGGAATCTTCAACAAGAAAACATTTGTGATCCTTGGTTTTGACTTGGACCAGGTGGAAGCTCTAAGGGAGATGATAGAGGAGAATAAAGGTCAATCTCTCTGCCTCTCTCTTCTTATTTTATTTTCATGTTCACTTTCATTAACTTACTGCCTACACTTGATTGTCTCAAGGAGGAACATCTGAAGGAGAGTTAACAACATTGCTTATCACACTCTTTATTGTCTGAGGTCTGTTAGAGTGGGCTGAGATAGCTTGGGGGGGGGGCTTTATCAAGGTTTTTTTCTGTGTCACTCTATTCTTCTTGGAGATTGATTTTATATACATTATTTTGCATCAGTTTTTTCAAACATGCTGATGCTTATTTTTATCAGGAGAACATTTGGACGATATATTGACAGAATATGACATGATTGATAGTGAAAACGAGGTAAAAACAGGTACATATGATGAATTTGTTCATTTTAACAGTGGTGGCTTTTCACCTTGATGATAGGGCCTAAACCATAAGCATGCAATGTCAAGAGCCTTACAAAAATTCTTTTCACCCCAAGCCTTGACCAAGAGTTTAGTCATTTTATTGAGCTCTATCTTTCAATTTGACTTCTTTGACTTTGCAATTTAATAAGTATATTTTATGTAGTAAAGACAAATATAAACAATATTAACATACAAAAAACAGGGAAAAGTGACAAGTTTCTAAACAAAGTCTCAACTTAGTACCTTTATTAAAAACAGTTTAATGTTTTTTTAATGTAAAAGAGCAGTGTCCATATACTATTTTTTAAGCAATGCATAAGATGTTGAACTATCTGTAAACACCTAAAACTCTGATATTCACATTTTTAAAGGGTTGAACTTGAATAGGTGTTTGGCCATAACAAGGGTAACAGTTTTAGATAAGAAGTCCTTCATATAGCTATTGATGTATATATGCTGCATGCCAAATAAGGTTGACAAAACAATAACAACACTGCTTACGAAATTAAATTGCTGTCATATCAATAAGTTACACATTACCACTGTAGTGTCACAAAAGTTCCAAGAAATAGAAAAAAAATATTCGAAACAAACAAAGAAGATGGACACCTATGCATCTGCTTGCTATTAGGATACTGAAAGTGCACCTAAGTTTTATTCTATCCCTAATCTAATCTTCCTCCTCTTATACTAAAATACAAGTATGAGCAATTGTAATGAGGTATATTTTTCCTGAAATTCTTATTCTCCAAACACTGTTTTGAGAAATCAACATGAAACTGGATGTTTACACAGTGAGACCTGACATATTGGTTCAAATTTATCTTCATATTATATGTAAAAATGAACTTAAAAGCTCTGACTAACTTGTATCCAAGAACATCATTCAACATCATGCTGTCTGTAATCTTCTCTTTTAAGAATTTTGTAAAATTCTGAAAACATTTCCGTCTGCAACATCACAACAAGATAATCAGTACTTGTTTTTTGGAACACGACATCCAAACGAAAGTGTAACAGACAATGTCTCCCATTGTTTTCAGCAGTTTATTCATTCCCATAAATGAGAGATTTTTAAACGGGCTCCATACCTGACCGTTAACTCTTCTTAAAATCACCTCTTTGATTGCCTTTACTTTATCTGGTATGATAATCCAATTGTTGTATTTTAATTCTCCCTCCCAGGCAGTGTTCTGGCCAACACCAGCCGGGTTGTCCCAGACTTTGGGTTAGTGCCAATATTAGGCGTTCCAATAGAGGTGACAGTTACAGAGATTGTCACCAATGCTTGGCTGGTAAGTGGATTGTATATTATACTCTCTATCCTCTTTAGACTCACTATTTTTTGATGTATAATGGAGAAATAATTGCATGTAAAAGACGATGTAAGTGAAATTACAAAACAAGTAGGCCTACATTCGACACAAAAGCATGAAGCACTGTTATTTAAAAAAAGGCTTCCAAATTTCAATTTTAATTATAAATGAAGTATTTGAACATGCTGTCTATTAGTAGAAATAGTCCCTAATCAAACTGACAGCCCACTTGTTATCCCAAACTGCTTTAAAATAGTCTGGTGCAGGGGCACAGTAATTAAATCTCAGCTCAAATCAACCAGTCGAGGGACGACGCATGGGGAGCCGTATGAGTGGTGGAGAGACCATTACAAGATTAAGTGGTCTTCCTTTCATGTAGGTCCGCCATATTTAGGTCGTAGCCTAGCTAGCACTCGCCTCTTCTCATTCTGAATGGGGCCAGTAACCTTAAGGAAGATAATTTGTAGGTCCAAGTATAAACATAATGTAATGGCATCATCTAATCTTTAATATGTATTATATCATTTTCTTTCAGCAAATGTGTGTAGAAAACAGCCTATATCTTGACCCAGGCAGCAACCCTCTGTTCAGTCCCATAGAAGTGAAGCCTGACTGCCGGCCACTGGAAGGCTGTGTGTTATCTGTCAGGTCAGTGCAGGGAAAGGGAACTGTTATTCACAAGTGAAATGATGCTTACTTTTTATTTATCGTATAATTGAATAAATAATTTATTGATAAGGAAGCCCATAAATTTGCCATATATGGTGAATGGTAAGCATTGCTGTGAAATATAAAACTGTTGAAAACTGAAAACCTTTTGGATGCACCTTCTTGCCCATTTTTTATACAAAAGTTGGAGAACTGTAAAAGGTACATGATTTTATAGAAAGAGATATTATTCTGATCACTGTGACTGTCCTTGGTGATGCTGTCCAGCATATTTGTTGTTTGCATCATAATTACCATATCATAATTTTGTTTTAAGTTACTTTAATTTTATTCAGTGTCTAAATAGTTTGACAAAAAACGGTTTCATGTCAAAAATCAACATGTTCTGATTATTTTCACAAAATTTATTGTTTACTGGAATGCGCCTTTTTATGTTAAAATGATGCAATGGGAATATCATTTTGCTGTCAACTGTCTTTAATGTCTAGTTCTTAACTATTACAGTGTACATAACACATACCACTGCTTTCATTTTGTTGGAGTTTTGTTTTGTCCGCCAGCCTTAGCTGCTCTGTATCATTTCCAGCGGTTATAGTGGTGTGGAGCGTGACTGCCTGATGCATCTGGCTGAATTATTGGGAGCCAAGTAAGTTCTCTCTCGCTTTCACCAACTCTTTGAGCACCCCTATACAGCCTTAATCTTCAGTGGTGCCAAAAATGTGGTTTGGTATTACCCCTTTCAGATAAAAAGTATGAAAAGACATTAAAATTTTTAGATATCAACATACTCCCTTTAACAAACATTGATGCGCTTATATCAGGATGTCTGCCTGTCTGTTATTTTACTGCTTTGATGCTTGGCCACTTATGCTGTATGTTAGCTGGATGTTGTTAACTATCCCAGCTTTAGTGACAAAAGTGGGAGATCAATTTATTCTGCCTATCCTTGTGTCCCTCTGTCTATGGGTGGATAATATTATGTTGTTTATTGTATTTCAATAGAAAGCTAGAAAAGTCATAAAAATTGCATTTCTGTGAAAAAAGGACAGTTGGTGTTTCGTTTTAAGCAATTTTTTTATCGTTATTTAGTTTCACCTTGACAGATATGCATGACCTTGATGTCTGATGATTTGAAAACTATTTTCTAGTGGATAACCATACATTTGTTTATTGGAAATGGCAGCTCTTATAAGTTTCTCAGTTACTTAGTTTCGATAATATGCCTATTTATTTACTTCAAAATTTGCATTGTCAGCAATTTTGATCTTAAAAGTGACTGCCATAGCCAGCACTGTAGTGATTGTGACTTGTTTCATACTCACCTAGATAATGAATATGCTTTGTGTACAGTGTTATGTATATTAGCACTCACAAATCCAGTTGGAAGTACATATATGTAAACTAGAAGGTAGTCTATGGCTTCTGAACCTCTTGTTGACAGGTTGTTATTTTGGTATTTTATCTTTGAAGGACCCAGGAATTTTTTGTGCGAAAAACCAGTAAGAAGCTTCTTGCCAGCACTCATCTCCTGGTGCGAGAGGCTGATGGCTCCAAGTATCAGGCTGCCACCAAGTGGAACCTCCCTGCTGTAACTAGCCAGTAAGTATCTTATACCAAGAATTACCAGCAAGTTATTTCAACAGTCAGAATGTCCATATGACTGTAAGGATAAGGTGTGTTTTAAATGCCCTTGTTTTATTTACCTGGCAAAATATCTGACAATATATCTGTGATTGAGGAAGATTCAGGGTATGGTGCACAGTGATGTATGCATCACAAAATGTGCTCAAAATATTGTTCATGGGCATCAATGCCCATGCAAGTGATGGGCCAAATTTTTTTGACAAGCTATTATGTTTCTTATAAACAAAAGGTACAGTAAACAAATTAAACCTGTGATATTTCAGATGGATATTTGCCTGTGCTAGAAATGGACAAAGAGTGCCAGAAGAAGATTTCTTGGTAGACAAAGGTTAGACAGTCCTAAGAGTTAATTCTTGGTGGTAAAGTTGGGGCAATTTTTATTCATTGCTTTAGATAAAGCAAATTGTGTGTGGTTGAAGTTATGTCTAAAATTGATTTGAATTAAGAAGTTGATGTAGATTTTTGACTAAGCTTTTAAATGCAATTTGTAAAATTGAATTCAGAACAAGCTGTTTACTAAATTGCACAAGATTTTTACCAGTGTAAACATACAAGTGGCACCAACAATATCATATTTTGTTTCCTGTATTTTATCACATGCAAATTTTTCACTCTGTTAAATTTTTGGTAGCTTTATCAGTGACTGTAGCTGTAAGGGCTCGTTTTTTAAAAATTAAAATAGATCATTTTATTTTGAGTTTTTTTCTGTATTTCAGACAAGATTAATTTGGAGTTATCTAAACCTTCTCAAAAAGAAATTGAAAAGCAAGTCATCATCCATAGGGAGAAAAGTGCAGCGAAGGTTGAATCTTTTAAGAAGAAAACAAGTGAGACCATGGAAAAGCAAGAATTCCCTGTAACTGATCCAAAAAAATTGACAGACTCTGACAAATATGATCTTAACAAAAAGAGTGATACATTTGTAAATGGTTTAAAAGATAAGCCAAATGACAAAAATGAAAAAATAGAGTACAGTGGGCCTTTGGTTGAGCTAGGAGAATGTACTTCAAGTGTAGAGACAGCTGGAAAACCTAAAACACCCAGACCAACTAACAGCAGACTCATGGTGAGTAGACTCCTAGGCCTGCTTTTAAAAACAGGATTTCAGAAACTTTCATTTTTAGAGGCAGACACAATGTGTCTGAATAGGTGGTCATCACTTCATCTGTGGTCACTGTCAGCATTGCTCTCTCCTTGCACTTGCATTTTTTACTGGTGAAAAATAAAACCATGTTTTTATCTTCAGGTTTGAGGGAGTGATGTATGGAAATATAATGTATGAAATATGTGGAAATAATACCTGGTTGGATTATTATTGATTTTTTATTAATTAATTTATTTATTTATTTTGTTTGTTTTTGTTTTTTTGTGAATTTACTTTTTTTCACAAATTTCACAGTTTTGACTTTGAATTTAGATATTTTTCTGAATGGCTATGCTAACAGTTATGAGGAATTTGGTTGCAATTATGTGTAATTATATATTGGATCAACATTGACAGAAAAATTCTATGCACTTTTATTGTTGACATTGTTCATTATTTGTACACAGACTTAATGTCAGAGCCTCTTTAAGTTTATTTCGGTCCATTCCACAGCTTTGCTTTTTGTATTGTTTCATTACTTGTGAAAAAAACTTCACAAGTATATTACCTTGCTTGTTTGTTTGTATGTTGGTTGTTGTCACAATAGAGGCCAACATTTTAGAGATTTTATTTTCAAAATTTTCTGTAGATTGCTAATAAATGCCAAAATAAGTAAATACTGAAATAAATTGGCCAATTAACACACTGAATAAAATGAGTATTGGCGGGTGGATAGGCATTTGACTGATACTAAATTACATTTTTGTTGATTTACAAACTATGTCCACTTGAAGCTCAGACAGCGAATGATCTGGAACCAAGGCTTTCCCCAGAAAGCCACCCAACCTTCATTTAGATAGCCATTGCTCTGGGTTGGTTGGTTGGGTTTACTTGGGTTGGACTCCTTGTAAACAGATGACCAAATTAAAGATACACATTTGGTACTCCCTGTATCCCAACTCCTGAAGAAACCCCTGCCTGGAATTGGAGTAATCAAATTGGGTCATATATGAATTAGGTAGTGAATCATCATGTCACTGGATTACCATTTAATGACAGGCAGGCCAACTTGAATTATTTGATGCAAAACATCTGTTAAATAGCTGACAGGCATTTCCAGTTGAACTGGTATGTCGAGTTCAGCTATCACTAGCAAAAAGCTATCGCTTTTTACTGCAAGTTGCAGCTGTCAGACATTTACAATATTAGTCCCATAGATGCAGTTTTGTTTTATTTTTTATTGGTTTTTCTCTATTGAGCAATTTTATTTTGTTTTTTTGTCTTATAATTAATTATCTTTTAATTTTGATTTTGAATTTTTGTTAAATTGCAATGTACAAGTACATAAAGAAATTTATAATGGCACTTGGTGTCCTCTCCAGGCTCTGAAGCAACCTAGAGCTGGCAGTGAAGCAACCCCAAAGAGGCAGTCTCTGCGGTTAAACACAGGCATTGATACACCAGGAAAATTTCTGGCCCAGGGAAAAGAGTTCCATCCATCTTTTGACCTTCAGGTTACATTAAACTAACATGGAACTTTTGGCATTCACTTTGTCTGGATTGTTTATTGTCATACTTGCATATTTTTTACCCATATTCCATGTTCAAAAACTGTGTCATTAGTAATTGTATTTGTTTTGCCTCTTAATCCTTTAGTTTCTATTCTCAACAATTGGTAAAATATGACAGTATTTGTTTTATTGTAGTTATTTATTATTTCTTGTACTCAAGTGTTTCATTGCATGTCATTCAGGTTCTGGAGTAAATGTTCAGGTTTATTTAAATATTACTTCACAATTAATTTTGTATTCTTCTTGAACAATTGAACCTGCCAGTAATGTGATTTGTTTTTGGATAATTGCTTTACACCCTCAGAAGTGTGAGATCCAATGTGTATTTTAGGAGTTTGAGCAAGCCCTCCACAGCCCTGCCAGTCAGTATCAAAGCCCCAGGAGCAGAAGACAGAGCAGGCACAGAAAGGCCAGTCTGGTTAGTTTTGGAACTTAGTACTTATAGCTTATAAGCATGTATTGTGCATCAGACAATGACTGAGAAAACTACACACTATGGGACTTTTTTTCCGAAATCCAAATAAGAAAGAATTGTTCATATTTTCTAGTTTATTTATTGAAATGTGTGTGTTGTATCACAATGCAATCACACTGTCTTATACTTCTTTCCAAAAAACACTGTGCAAAATAAGGTATAACAACAAAGTTGAGAACCTTTTAAATGTTCTTATGTTGATAATGAAATATTGCCAACAGGTATGCTTCAGATGAGCTTTTTTTGGGTTTTATCATTTTTATGTACTGATGCAGAGTGTCTGTACACATAACCATCAGTTTTATTTTGCATCATTTTCATTGTCATCGTCATCATCACTGATGAACAGTTTGACCTTTTGTTTTTAAACATACAAGACTGATGAATATAAGTAAAATACAGGAAAAGTTGTAAAATCAGCTTGATTTGACCATAGTTGGAAAAGTAATGCTCAATTGTGCTTTTTTAGCTAATATAAAATTATAAGCAATGCAGATAACACAAATGGAAAACAGATTGACCTATTGTCTTAAAACTTATGGGACTGATGAATATCTATTAAATACAGGTTAAGTTAAAAGACCAACTTTAATTGATCTTTTTTGGAAAATTTGCTGTTTTTTCCTGTCTTTTCAGCATGATTGTTTTCAATTAGATGGAAAACTGTTTGACCCATTGTCTTCAAACTTAGAGGACTGATGATAATTACTATAATAGCAACTTTGGTATAATCTGAGAATCGGCTTGATCTTGTCATTTGTTGGAAAAAGTTATCCTTTCCTGTCAGCATGTCCTATGCAAAACAGATAATACAATAAATTGAAAACCATTTGACACATTGAGCAAAATGTCCATTAGATTGCTCCATTAGATGGCTCCACTCTGTAATAGTCTCTTAAGAGAATATTACAGAAAACGAAACTTTTTAGAAAAAAATAGGGACAAACTTTGAATGTGGGAATGGATTCATTAACCATTGATAAACATGGGAAAATTGTCCTTTACCCCAGGAAAATCCATTTTTTTGCCTAAATGAATAGATGTTACCCCTTTAATTTGAATTCTTTATAATAATATTTAAAGTAATTGTTTATATACAAATATTGAGGTGCACTTGAAGTCCAATGCAAACACATTTAAACTGTGCAAGACAAATTAAGGTAAAATCAGTTGAAAACATCATATTAAGTTTTCCTGAGTAAGAAGTTTTGCCATATGAGAATGGTAACTATAATTTTTTCAGAAGTGGGTCTCTCATTGAGCACAATTTTTTTAACTCTGTTATCAGGAACAAACATCACATTATAGTCATTAATTGTGCTTAATTAATCAAGTCAAAATCAAACAAAATTTTCATAATTTGAACTGTCTTCACCTGTCCAACATCAAGTCCACATCAAGGTGGGATCAACGCATTACGCACTAGAAAATTCCCTGAAAAATAATAAGTATAAGACACAACTGCAGCTAGATTTCTTCGCTTAACTCACTGAATTCATTCTTATGCTCAATTATTTTGAATTCAACAAAAAAATGAGTTCTTATTGCAGATAAAAGGAAGGCCAGGGGCACAAAAAAGGCTCCTCAGTATGCCAACCTATTTATGGCCAACTATAAAAAGCCCACATTCTACATTCCATAGATTGAATACACCTTCCTACTATGGGCACACAGAGATGAAGACCTTAAAGAATTTGGAGAACTTTTTATCTAGGAAAACCTCTCGATCTGCCTAGTCTCAGTTACTCTATCTAAAAACAAAACTTTGGATACCATCTTCTCTATCAAAAAAAAAAACAAAAAACAATAGACTGGCTACACGTAGAAAACCCACAGACTTGAAGATACAACAGAATTTACTCGAACCCGGAAAGAAGAACAAACAACTTAAAGATCTGCAAAAGGTTTTTGTAAGATGGAAGTATGACATGCAAATGATAAAAGAAACCATGGAGAAAGGGGGTTAAGTAAACTGCATTGGTCATAAATAACTTAGCCGTAGCATGTATATATATTGTCAGACTTTCTCAGAATTTCCTAGATGCAGTATTAGGTACGTAATATTGTATCCAAATAGACATGATAACAAAAGCACAATAATATGAAGACCATACTTATTATTTTCACACTTGTTTTTTTTTTTAAGTTATGCATTTTTTGTGAAATGTTTATTTTTCACATAGTGGCAATTTCAAGGTTTGACTTCGGTTCTGACTTTCAAGGGGCTGAAGGCCTTTTCTAGTCACACTTTCTAAATATCCATGATGCTTGTATTGGTGGTGATTATGCATTTAAGAATTATACATTATTGTATCAATTTTGGGTACTGATGCCATAATGACCACCAAAGGAAAACCATGTTACTTAGAACTCTCAAACTTGCAGAAAATATTCATAAGACTGGAATACAGCTTAAGTTGGAAAACCAGCCTGATGATTGGATTCTTTTTCTGGAAGTAAATGCAGTTTTTGTGAAATATTCATTTTTCACATATTGCCATTTTCAGTATGGAAATATTAACTCCTGTGGGCATGAAGTCATATGATAGTTACATTTTCTTAAAGTTCATGTGATGTATATTAAATAATTAAAATAGGTGGTGATTAAGTTAGAATGATTCTTAGGATCTACATAAAGAATGTATGATATTTTTTTTGTGAAATTTTCATTCTTTTCAATCTGGCATTTTCAGTGTGTGAATTTGAACTCTAATGAGCCTGCAGTATCATGCTAATTACTTATTTAGGACAAGTACCCTTGCCTTTTGTGTATGCTTACAATTTGGTGCTGATTTTCCTGTTAAGCATAATGTATCAAAATTGACAAAGTAACTTATTTTGTGCATTATTATTTCTGCTTTTTGTCTGTACATTTGACAGCTTTGCTGCCTTGTTATTTTTTTTATTAACTCACTTTCCCAAACAACATGGGGTACACCATCGTTTAAATAAATGTCCTACACATTTTGATTCATGGGCTATAAGATGCAGCTTGATTTGGAAAACAAACTTGATTGGATGCTTTCTTGAAGAATTTTTTTTTTTCACCTATTGGCATTTTTTAAAATGTGTGACTAGAACTCCATATGAGTAAGAAGCTGAACCCTAGATATCTATAGTCCATGTAACCTATAGTGTATTATTAAAATTGGTGGTGATTATGCTATGAAGTATGATTTAATATTGATAAAATTACTTTTTTAAAACCTTTTTCTTCTTTTATGTTGCAGCCGATAGAAGAGGTGTTTAGCCACCATATGTCTCAAGCCATCAAGAACACAGCTGTCTGTACAAATCCAAGTGATGTGATTGGTCAAAAAGAAGCAAAAGGAATTGATAAGAAGGTTAGAATAAACACAGCTGTAATTTTCAAAATAAAAAATAAGAATTATCTAATGATTGATGGTGTTTGAATACCACTTTAACATCACCTTATGTGGTATACACACAGTATCATTAATGTCCAGTACCTTGTAGTTTTAGGAGCAGGATATTTTACCACACTCAGAGCTTCAGAGATAACGTGAAACAAATCTGTCAGGCCCGTAGCCAGCAATTTCAAAATGGGGGTTCTTTTTCTGAAAAAGTGGACCTTTTTCCATAAAAACTTCATGTACCTAGAGCAAATTTTACTCAGAGTGGACCTTTTCCCAGCAAAAGGGGTGGTTCTTTCGACCCCCCCTGGCTATGGGCCTACCTGTACACTATAGCATACCCTTGCTCTTTCAAGTGTCCTCTGACTGATTCATTAGGCCTGGCTGCCTGACACTCAAATTTAACCCCTCCCCCTCCGATGACTCATTGAACGATCTAGCAAATAAATGCGAAAGAATCAAAACGTGGTTTGTTCAAATCTGGACCAATCAAATATTACAGAGGTGTATTGTGCTGCATCAGTAAATAATCCCACACATTATTCCAGTCTCATTGGACATCTTAGACTTTCTTCCAAACTATGGTGAAAAGTCTTGAAAACATGGATTCGATTGGCTTAGTAATCTAGTTCAAAATGAATCTGGTCAAAAGTAACTTGAAACGCCAATGGTATGCTTTAGTGAAGAAGTTTGTTTCAAATAATTTCTGAGACTCAGGGTGGTGGGCCACTGTGTGGTATATGAAAACAGTACCATTAGTGCCCATTACCTTGTAGTTCCAGGAGCAGGCCAGTGGACCACTGTGCGGTGTCACTATAGCTGTCAGTCGTAAACTCAGTAATAATCAGAGTGACTACAACAATATGGCTGCCTTGTTGGGGGCAGATTACAGATGGACTTATGATGAGACATGCACCCATTTCATATTCCAAGTAAGTAAAAATTTAGTTAGCTTCATAATGCCTCTGATGAAGAAGCTACCGAACTGTTAAACTTAGTTTTATTAGACTGCAATATGCATTACATCATGCCAAACCCTTAACACATCATTTAGGAAGGACAGGCATGTTTGGTGCAATCCCAAGGCCTAAGTTTATCCTAAGTTTATCCTTGCATCCAGTATGGCTAACATGGCCATAAGCTTGATATCCGTTTCCTCTTATTTAAGGAAAATTGTTCTTGAGGGTTGCTTCTGTTTAAACATGATAGAGTCCAATTGACCAGGTTATTGAAGGTTCCTTTCGCAATCTGCACTCAAAGTATATTCATATATTAATCTAGAAAATGCCAAGTTCATTATTATTGTTTGAGAGAGTACCAATGCAAAACACAGAGCATTAGGAAAAGATCTTTACTGTTCAAATTATACTACATAAACCACTTAAACCAAGGTGCGCTATGTTACTCATTTGAATAAATTACTTTAAATGGATGATATTACTTATTTGCATAAAATAACTTTGGATTGCTGATATTGCTCATTTCACTGAAATCACTTTAACCCTTAGGGACCAAATAGTGCTCACCTAGAAAATTGGGATTACCTCAGTATACTGACCCTGAATATTTAACTTGCAAACATTAACTACACAAACCCATGGTTAAGGGGTAAATGAAAGTGACATCAAAATTGAGTTTAGTGTTGTCCAATGTGCTTCAAAATTCAGTTGTGTTTGAATGTATGGTAATTGCTTTATCCATACTACTAAAATAATCAGAAATAGAATCGGCATGACCAAATTTAGATACTGTAACACGAAGGTCAGCAGAGTGAAAAGAAGAAATCGTAGTTCCCAGTTGAAGTATTCTGATAAAAGAAACTCAGTGTGCATTATATCTATAGTAGGCAAAAGCCTTGTAACCCACTGTGTTCTATCAAAATGCTTGTAATGCATATGTATGCCACATTGAAGTTTATAAATGAACATGCGCACCATCTAAATAGTCCTTATTATGCACAGACTTTTTTTTAGTACGGCATCTTACATATTGTCATCCATTATTGTCACAAAAAATGATGTTACAAAAAGACAAAAAATATGTAGATGTTATGACATGACATAATAAGTGACACCATTTTTAACATATTTCACACTGACAGTTGGTAGGTTTCACTAAATATATATAACACAGAGTTGGGGTTCATACATGTCTTGTGTTTTTTTATTTATTTTTAATTGTGTGAGTGTGTGTGTGTATACATGTATATATTGATATGTATCCACCTAACATTAATGATAATATATGTACATTAATGATAATAAATGTAATTTATGTGTATTCATATTTATAAGTAATTGCATATTCTATACTTGTAGATGTCTGAAGATTAACATGCATTTCATTGTCACGTTCTATTAAATAAATGGAGAATTCTTAAGCAACTATTTTAGTATCATAATAAAAAAATATTGAAGATTTATGTTGCTGTATGTATTTGAAAATTGTATTAACTCTTTATTTTTTAGGGACGAAATAATGACACAAGCAAAGAATTTCGAGTAGCAAGAGAGCAAGGAAAGTGTATAGTGTCCCCTTACTGGCTGCAAATGGTAAGTTACCATGGCTTTAGCTGCTGTGTGGTAAGTTCATGGTACCTTCTCACTGGTTGCTGTATGGGATGTTGATGGTACCCCTGCACTGGCTGTTATATGGGAAGTTGATGGTAATAATAAAGTTTATTTGCTACTAACAGTAGTTGGATTGCACAATAATATGTGAATTATATAAATACAGTGCAGTATCAGGGTTCACACGGGTTCACACACCTTGAAAAGTACTTGAATTTAATTTTTTCCTTGAAAAGTACTTGAATTCTTCCCCTTATCCTTAAAAAGTCCTTAATTTGGTGGTAGCCTTAGTATGATTTTACATGCTGCATGCAGTAAGATGTAAAACAATAAAATATTTGTTGTATTTGTAAATAGCAGTTGCCTTTCCTGATGACCAAAGAGTCCTTGAAAAGTGCTTAAATTTGAGTCCTGAAAGTCCTTGAAATTCCTTGAATTTTTCATGTTTTTTTTGTATGAACCCTGACTGTATAGTACAGTTTGTATAAGAACAGTAAAGAAAACAGAACAGTAAAGAAGATTCTTCCGATTAGTTTCCTCACCCCATAAAATTATTACAGTCAGTAATTCAGGGGCGGATTTAAGCCGTCTTCGGGGTCTTCTGGAAGATGGTCAGATTTTCAAGTTAACATTGACATATATCTATTTTTTCTGTTGGAAGACGGTCAAAAATGGAGGATGGTAACGAAGATAATTTGGAAGACTGTCAGAAAATATCTCTGGATCTACCCCTGAGTAATTGGTATATAATTATTAGCATTTGAAATGTGTACCACGGCATTTTTTAGTAAGTATAAGTTCCTATTTTCCTGTGTCTGCACAGTGCCATGTCTAATAAATGTTTCCTTTTGTTGATTTACAGTGTCATGAGCAAAAGTCCAAAGTGGAAGAGACTCTGTTTCCACCAAACTATAACCCTAATTTGTCTTTGGTAAGCCTTTACTTGTATAGAACATTTGACAAATCTCTCTTAGACTCCATTCCCACAGATTTTAGATATACCTATCCCCGTGGGGAGTCTCACTAGATTGCTGTCAGATTAGCCAGCTTAAATGTCTGTCCCGCCTACTAAAGGCTGTACGGAGGTAATTAACTTTTGTGCACGCTTGGCTGACAGCAATTTAGCATGAACCCCAGGGAGTAAGGTCGATCCTGATGGATCGATCTAAATCTGTGGGAACCCAGTTTTAGACTGTCCAGCTTGCTACAGTACTAAGAGGGTGGTTTATAAATGAGCATGGCCAGTATGCCCATGATAATATGGTAAAAGCATGTTTTGGGGTGGAGATTTTTAATTACAATTGTAAAAATTGATATGATCCATACATTAGATAATTTGTTAGAACAGAATGGCAGAAAAGATATTTTTATATGCAGACACTCTAAGTATCTAAATATATTCTGATTACCATTATCTGTTGGTGTTGTTCCTGTAGCTGCTGCCATTGCCTTGGCTCCAACATACACTGGATAAGGCATTGTGACTGTATTTTTCACAGGGTAACCCCAACTCACTATTACAATGAGGTGTTCAGTTGGTTGTGCTGGTGATGTCATTTAACTATATTCAGTCATCTGCCAGTACTAACCTGTCAAGCCCACTTTGTTCATTTCGAATTTGTGTCATAAATGTCAATGTATTTGGTCATACGTGAAAAAATAAAGCTTATCACCAGAAAAAACAGCAACCCTGGAATAAACATATCCAAGTCATTTTATCAGAGATTATGTGGACATATAGCTATCATCTGCTCCTGACATAGTGTTTAGTGTTACAGTCACTGTACTCTTTGCCAATATGAGTGCATGATTCTAAAGTACCACCTCATCATTTTATTACTAAAGACTGGGTCTTAATCCAGAGTTGGGCTTCAACGTCTGGTCTCGGGCCAAAAAATTAGAGAAAACGTGGGATTTCGTGCATGAGGATCACTTCTATCGTGCAACTTTTGGAGGTCGCAGACAGCACGTAGACATTTTTTGACATGCTCAACAGCCGCTGCATGCGGTCCATGAATTCACAAAAAATTTTAAAAGTACTACATGCAAACATGCGCTTGTTGTATGGAACACGTGAGGAAATTTTTTTTTTTTTTTGAATTTCTGAATATTTTCTGAATATCCGTGATTGTCAAACTTATATAATATTTCTTTAAATTGATAGTGACTATGCTGCTAATCATACTGCATCAAAATTGACTGAAAAAAAACTACTTTGTGTACTGGCACCACAAACATTATGAAAAGAAAACTGTATTACGGTATAAACTTGAAAATTTCATCGATCTTGTAAATTTCATTGGAAGACAATTTTCTACCAAGGTAATTTTTTTCACTTTGAAAATTTCATCGAGCTTGAAAATGAGCCTCTCCTTAATTTTTGAAAAGTTCATCACCTAATATGGTCGCGTTGTCCAGCTCAAACAATAATAAGATCAGGATAACACTCTCAATGGAAGATAGGAACAATAGTGCACCTCTGCGAGTGGCTACTAATAGTATAGATGGTTTAGATGTGAATTCCCATTCTCAATTGCAGGAATGTTGGCCTTTTGTCTTTAGTTTCATTACTGTTACCTGGCTCAAGGTGCGTTTTCAAGCTGGTATTACTAAATAGAAGTCACAGGCCACGGCTCTTTGAAAGTTGTAACGCCGTTATTGTTATCGATGGCTGTCCTAAGCGAGACGAAAAGTCTATTTTCATATCTTCATCGGGAGATTGTTCGGGATGTAAGCAGGAATAAAATGCAATTTTCATATTAGTTCAAGGGACTTAGGAACTTTGTTTGCGGATGATTGTCAGCAGGAGATCATTATTTTAACCCCCCCCCCCCTTTGGATTTTTTTAATATTTATATATTTTCTTTTTTGGGTTCGTCTTGTTACCTGTGTACGTGGCACACACTTACCACTTATGGAGAGAATGCAACGCTCGGCCAAAGTAGTTCCCTTTTGCATCACACTGGTGATGACGTAGCCTACTGACGGCGTACATCAGTTTTGCCTCCTTGTTCTCCGCTTCTTTCTTCTTCCTCCTCCCTTCTTTTTTTGCTCTCTAAGCTTTTTTCCCTTGTCTTTTGGAGGCATAGTAGGAGCTGAATTAAGCAAAATTCAAATATTTAAAAGTTGTTGTAAATGTTGCACAATCGACGTTAATTGTTGAGACACGAACTTGCATTGTGAGCACGCCTTTTATACTTCAGGCATGGGGGTGGCCACGTGCGACGAACTCCCACCGTGCTTTCCATTGTGTTCATTAGCTGTGAGGATGTACACGGTACTCAACATGCATAGGACACATGCTCCTTCATTGCTTGCGTCATACGTCTTGGGCCATGCACATCTCACTTGCGATCTCCATGCAAGAGGAACAAGATTCGCTTGTGGCTTCGCTATGCGTAGATTATTCGTAGAATCTTTTGGACATGTCCAATGTCCTCGGTACGTGCTTACGAGCTATCTACGAACTCCAGATTTCGCAAAAAAGACTTGCATGGCACGTGAGATTCTGCGCAAAATTTGAACGCCGTAAGAGCCGCACGGCCAGTTGTGACTGAGGCTTAAGTGTGTAATATGTGGCATCCAGTTTATAATGCAAGGTTGCAATTAGGCTTATCTTGATCCCTCTCCTCTATCAGGAGGTGTGTTTCTTACCGAAAAGACAATTCTCAACTTACTTTTCGGGTAAGTTCATATAACTTAATCGAGATGCACTAGTAAATAGATTATTATTTACCACCAGAAAATAACTTAGGAAGTAGTGATAAATATCCCACAATGTATGAGGGACAAGGATAAAAGCTGATAAGGATAAAAGCCTGAAGGTCAGAGTTTTGAATATTTCATCATACTCAGGAGTCAGGGAGACGTAATTTAAAAAGTCGTTGGATTTACACAATTAAAAATATTAATTTATTTTTAAGCGACGAAATTTTCAAGTTTTTACCATACTTACTATTTTTTACTTTGATTCCTAGGATTGACATATAGCTCAAATTAGAAAACCATATTGATTGGATTATCATTTTTTCTTGAATTTATGCAATTTTTTGTTTTCATTTTTCTCATTCTGGCATTTTCAAAGCGTAAACATGAACTTTCATGGGCCTGCAGCATTATGCTGGTTATATATTCCTTACATTCATATTACCTGTTGTCAATTATTAAAATTTGGTGTTGACTTTGCACATAAAGTAGTGTTACATCAGATTGAATCATTTTCTGCTTTTTTCTGTACAGTTGACAGCTCTGCTGCCTTGTCTGAACATTTGATAACTTTACTGCCTTGTTTTATTTGTTATTTGTATATATGCTATCCATATTTTTAGTTATTTTGGTATTAAGCATTCCCTTGCTTGGAATCAAAGCCCTGCACATCCTATGTTGGAGTTGTGCATTTTACCATAGGGCCATCTGTAGGGCTGTATATGGTATGCAGTCAGATTATGTGTTATATGTGTTATATATAAAAAATATCATTTGATACCTAAAGTGTTATTTTTTAAAAGCTGCAATTATGCAGTGTTACATATATGCCTGCTTTCATTTTATTTTAGCAGACAGTAGTATCTAAGAAAATCACCCCAGTGCCAGCCACTCGGAGGTCCACCAGAGCATCAGTTAGGTCCAGCAATGCTGCTAGCCCTCCTCCAGCCCCAAGTAGTCCTCCAGCCCCAAACCCTCCGCCAGCCCCCAGCATAGAAGATGATCAAGAGGGAGAGGAAACAGGCAAGGATGGGTTTCAGATAGATACAACTCAGAGTGATGAAGAGATGGCTATTGATTGTGAAGGTTTTTTGGATGAAAAGGTGACATAGATGTTTTTTTCTTGTATACATGTGCCTCTCTAACCATTTCTTTTCTAAGAGACCATTCCCAGAGACTGTCTTACTAACTTTGGATTGAACTATCTCCGAGGGGATTCTCTCTTAATTGCAATTAACTTAAAGGTACATATGAACCGAGCATCAGCGGAGCGTGGATTCCCAGTAACACATATAAACCACTTCCACTAGTTTCTTATACGACTAGAATAAATTTGACATGCAAAGGAATAAACTGAATAGATCACTCGATCAGCCATAAAAGAGCTTTAGACTGCTCCTTTCTTTAAATTTTTGGTCAAAAATTTAACATACTTTCGTGACCTACTTTTCTCCCCCATTGACATACAGCATAGAATGCTAGCAGAAAAATCCATTCAAACATCATTTTCAGGTAAAATTAAACAATGCCTTTTGGTAATTCTCTTAGTTATACTACTTGAAACTATATGCTGGCAATTGGTTGGCTTTTGTGGTAAAAAGTTGACTTGATAATGTGTCTTTAAGCGACTTAGATGACTGTCACTCCTACTGAAGCTGATAGGGGGTAATAAACTATCGTTTAGCAGCTTTAGCAGGTGTGCCAGACATCTTAGCCCTTAAGCTGAAAGCAATTTAGTGAGAAACCCCGTGGAGATGGACCGCTCCTCAGGCACTATTGGTGAATGCAATGAGATTAACAGACCTAATACTGGCAATTATTAGAGTACATAGGAAACAACAGGCGTGCTTGTCTGTTAATATGATTGCATTCAGCAGGAGTCACCATGGAGTTCCTGCACATAAGCTAGATTAAAAAAATACACTGTAAACGGTCCCATAGAAGAGAGAGGAAAGAGTCACACATGCATTTATACTCATAAATGTCAGTGGTTCTGTGGTGTTATCAAGATCTGTTTGTTAAACATTACCTAGTGACCAGTGTCACTGGCTATGGAACAAGTTGTTGCTGTATCTGTTGTCCATTTTGTAAAGAAAGAACTGTCATGTGAAGATGTAAGCTGATATAATAATTGGCTTTGTAAGATAGGTTCCAAGTTGATTACACATATGAGTTATTTGCCCGCAATTTTTATTATTATTATTATTATTATTTAACAATTAATTTTATCTGTCCTATTCTCAGAAAAAAGACAGTGTATCATTGGAAATGAATGCAGCATTAAGCAAACAGCTAGAGAACATCATGGCTGCCACCAAGTAAGTGACATAAGTATCAGATTCTTTAACATTGGCAAGTAGAATTCAATACTGGTAATAATTACTGAAGGCTATGAATTTTACAGGTGCTTAGTATAAAGAGAATGTCTTCTACCTCACTATCCTTGCAAAGAACTTTGTTACTTACTAATAATGTTACTTATGATTTTAAAACTTACTTATAAGGTTTGTAGGCCTGAAGTACAAGTTGCATTAGAAAAACAAGCCTGATTGGATTCCTTTTTTTTTTAACTTGTGCAGTTTATTTATTTATTTATTATATTTATTTTTATTATTTTTTTAATATCTATTCTCCACATATTGGCATTTTGAAGTTGTGACTTTCAACTTCCATGGACGGGAAGACCCTTGCTAGTCAGATTTTTTGAATATCTATAACACTTATCATTTTATTAAAATGGTGGTGATTTTGCTGTTAATTATAAGCATTTTGTAACATTGTATCAGAATTGGCACTGTCACCTCAAACACTATCAAAGGAAAACCATGTTACTTATTATTTTTTTCTGTATAAGAATGATTCTTAGGATTGATATACAGCTCACATTGCAAAAAGCTTACATTTATTTTACAAGTGCTTTGTCGTCTCTGTCCTACATCAAAATAGCAGTTATTGTCTTTGTGCAATAAAACCATAATTGAGAAGCAAAGTTCATGTTTTTATTGATACCACATGTACTAGTGAATATAGCCATCACCTGAGTTTAGTGTTCTCATCACACGGTTCCAGAGATAACACAATAAAAACTGTTTCACCTGTTGTCCTTTCAATCTGATGTATATAAGTATTTTACATGTCCAGTTCAAAATTTAACTTGGCATACTGTTTTCATACTTATAGAGCTAAATAATATTCTTAAAATATAGTGTTCGAGTTTGAAAACCAGTCTTTCAAATTTTTGGTAGTGATCTGCTTATTTGTCCATCCAGTTCTTGAAAGTCAGTTAGACTGACCTACTGATGTATGGCACATTACTGCTGCACGCAGTTATTCAAATGAGTTGCTGAAAAAGATCCAGGGTTATTTAAAGCAAAAAGCAACCAGAAAATGCCCTACAAATATCATTTTATCTACAATGTATGGCCAGCAATAATGTCTGGCATAATGTGATTATCTCCCTATATTTTGCATCTGTTTTCTACATTAAAATGTGTCCTTGAATATTTGCAGATAGTTCAGCCATATTTTCACACTTACTATTCTAAGTTTCTCCCCATAAAACAACATACTGTCCTGGATTAATTGGTAAGTGGTAAAAGTAATTAGATTAATCATCCCAGTTCTGAATACATTCTCAGCCTGTTATAAATAAATGAATGTTTTTTTCTACCAGGGCGCAGAAGCAATCCAGAAGAAGTATGAAGAGGGCAAACTGTAAGTAGCTTGCATTGGCATCTATTTTCATGTGTGGGTGTTTAGTGTCTTTTAAAAATATTTCAGTGAAGTAGGTCAGGGGCGGATAGAGACAGTCACATTTAAAAGTTTATGTTGACAGGTATCTATTTTTTCTGTCGAAAGACAGTCAAAAATGGAGGATGGATCAACAAAGATAATTTGGAAGACTGTCAGAAAATATCTCTGGATCCGCCCCTGTAGGTAGAAGAAATATATATAAATTTTGTTCCCTTTCATGTTTCTTGATATAAAATTACAGAACCTATTAAGAATTCTATTAAAATTGTTTGTAAAATGTATTATTTGACATTTTTAAACTGCAAATTTTAAATTGATTTACACTGAAGATTGAAAGAGTGCCCCGGGGAGACATTTTTTTAGTTCTTTACACACACACACACACCTTTACATTTTTCTTACTGTTGTGAAGCAATTAAATCTAGGTGGTTGAACATGCCTGTTTTTATTCAAATATAAATGTATGAAAATTACTAAACATTCTCCTTTCATGTCAGCTGCCAGTGAAAGCTCATATAAATCCCAAAATGCAAAATGTAATTTGAAATGTGAGCTTGCGGCAAATGTGCTAGAAGTGTGTGGCTAGTGTGCTGGGGGCTTGTTCTTTTGCCAGAAGCAGGCCAAATTATTTCTTTGAGTTTTATATTGCTTTTTGTCTTTCATTTTATTTAATCATAAACTGCTATCTGTTTTGTTCATCAAAAGCTTTGTGCTACAAATTTGGTTTCAGCCACAGCAGAGAACTTGAACAGTTCAGCAGAGGCTGTCTCTGACAGCAACAGAAGTAGACCTCCATCCTCAAAGTCTTTTGTAAAATCAGCAGGTAAAGAAAGAACAATTTCTTTGACTTATGGTGATGTTATACGGTGTACTTTGTGCTATGGTTCTTGAATTGTAATTGAAAGCAGGGATATCATTTTATTATTATATTTATTTATTTAATTATGTAGCTTTTGTGGACATAGTGACACCAGCAGTAAAAATTGATCAAACTAAATCCATATCGTCCATTTGTTTGTAAAACAATCATGAATATAACATATTCTGAATGAATCATTTTATTCAAATCTTCTTACCTTTTATCTCAAAAGCATATTATAGAATTTAAGTAATAATAATGAAGAATAATGAATTTTTAAATTGTACAACAGCATTTTCATCATTTTTCATCAAGGTTGCTTGGAATTTTATAAATGCATTTTGATTTCAAAATGTAGATGATTAGTTTGCAGTTGTTACAGTATTTTATAAGTATTTCTGCAACCACCTGTTTGCTTCTCTGTAAGCTTTTTAATTCCATTAACATTTTTGTGTACAGACACAGATGTGTCTGTACACATAGCCATCACATGCGTCTGTCATCAAGGTTGTCGTCGCTGCGCACTTTTACCGATAATACGATAAGTGAAAAACGTTTTTTCTTTTGGTTTGAAACTTACAGATTTTCATAATACGCAGGTTAAGTTCGAAAATCAGCATGATCGGGTCATTTTTAGGGAAGTTATGCTGTTTTTTCACTTTTTTCAGCATATTTTGGTATATTTGTATAAGAAAGTTTAAGTGCCTCATATGTGTAGACAGATAAATGAAATATAACTTCAAATGAGGAAAATATGTAAAAAAAAAAAGTCCTAGCTGCCTATTGCATCCATGGACAGAAGTCTCTCATTTTATAGCCTCAAGCAGGCCTGTAGCTAGCAATTTCAAGGGGGGGGGGGGGGCTAAAAAAAGTGTACCTTTTTCCATGGAACTTTCTTGTATCCAGATCAGATTTTTATTCAGAATGGACCTTTTCCCAACAAAAGGGGTGCTTCATTGAAACCCTCGGAACCCCCCTAGCTATAGGACTGCTTAGGTTTGCCACTTTTGCTTTAAACATATTTGTGAGCACACACACACACACACACACACACACACACACACACACTTTATCTTGCTTACCACAATTAATTGATTTAAAAGGGTCGTTTGCTCTTAATTATATTCTTTGAATTTTTTTTTCAATAGTTTTTGCTTGCTTATTTAAAAGGACAACAACGGCTCAATTTGTCATTTTCGCCAAAAAATGAGTTTCCATACTTCTCAATGGTTAATGATGCATTTCTGCATTCAAAGTTCCCAGTTTACTTCTAAAAAGTATTTTTATAATAACCTTAAGAGATTATAACGGAGTATAGCCATCTTCAGGAGGTCCAGTGGTCTGACGACAAGCACAGATTTCAGAATAATTGCTATAACTGCCATTTTTGTGGTAAAATAGAATAAATTATATTTCTTTGAGATGTTTACAATGTATTTATTGTGAAATATAGATCTTGTATAAAGACTTGTTATCCTTTTAAGTTTTATTGTTATATTTGTTGACAGATGAGGATGCCAACACTGCCTTAGACAAAAAAACAAGTTCTTCTGGTAAGTGTTTTAGCAGTCTCATTAGTTGTTTGGGGGTATCTTTCATTTCGTCTCTTGAAAGTGAATCTCCATAAGATATTAAAAACGGAAGTCAACAAACTCTGCTTCGATGCCATGCTAACCTTCATGTTTTTCGTACTCCAGACTTTTGGCAAAAATAGAAATCATTCCCTTTGATATTGTTTTAGCAATAATAAATTTGTTTTATGGGGAGATCAATGGCACTGGTAAGTCTTCTAATTAAGTGTTGTATTTCCTTTTGTTAGTTATGATTGTAGACTTTATTAACAATCACCAAGTCTGTAAATTAACTGTATGGATTCTAATAAATCAAACTGAGTATCTTGTGGCATCTGTGTCAGTAGGGGGAGAGTTGCCAGACAGTGTGAAATCTGACGCTTGCTAAATACTCCTGAAAATTTCATGACAGGGTAAACCCGTCGTCTGTTTTGAGCTGCAACAGTGTTTAATTGACAGAGCGTAGAATGTGCTTACTGTGGACGTGTTGTAATTAAGGATTAATGAGTTGACATGCGATTGGTCAGTGATACCCAGAGTGTTGTAAAGATTGCCGGCAGCGAACTGATTGGTGACAGCATGTCTGGCGGCCACATGTGTGCTATTGCTCTAGCTTGGGAGACTCCCGAAGTATATTGCACTATAAATGAAATTATAGCCTTCGCCAATAATTTGGTATTATTCTGAAAGTACTACTTAGTAGTTTACAATGATTCAGAAGTAATTTTTTGTCACTCAGACTTTTTGTATATTTGTAATTATACATAAAGCATGTTTAGTAGCAGTGTGTTTGTGTGTGTGTGTGTGTGTGTGTGTGAGAGAGAGAGAGAGAGAGAGAGAACTTTTGAACTAAAAGTGAAATGCAAACTTTTTTTACTTCAGTAAAGGGTCCTACAAGCCACCCAGAGCCCTCCCAGAGTTTACAGGACCAAGTGGGCTGGGATGATCCAGTCAGCCGGTATGCCACACTCTCATACATCAACCCCTCCCAGAACAAAACACATTGATGAGTTAGCTAATGGGAAAGACTGTCATTTACAGAAAATGTTGACAGAAGGGTCAAAAAATGCTATTTTCAGTTATTGATATATACAGACACTTAATGTGCCTATTAAGATAAAATGTCTGGTGGGCATAGCCTTGATAACAGGGCTTCCTTATTTGACTTGCTGTCTTGATGTTTCAATTTCCATTATGCTTTGACCAATAATTCTCCTGCTAGCTGTAAACAGATCAGAAAATATTAGTACAAGTGTTTTTTAAGATGGTGACAGTAGTTAGATTATGAAATTCTATGCTAGGTTGGAGCAAGAGAAGTTGGCTCGTGAGTTGCAGAGAGCTACTAGTCCTACCCAGCTCAGTGAATCACTGAGCCCTGTGCTCAGACAAAAAGAGCATAGATACTCATCTGAGGAGGACCAAGGAGAGAAAACAGATGAAGAAATAGTATTCAAGGTACACTTTGATTGCATTACTGGTTTCATGTAAACAACATTATACCCTAGTCACACTAGAGGCTGAATGAGCTAGAATATAGTCAGAATGAGAATTCTTTTTATATTCCTGGATATTCGAATTGCCTTCTAAAAATTCTGAGTGCATTCCAAATATAAGGGCCCATTCTTGTTTCTGGTCGGAATGTTTTGCTCATGCTCAAAACTTTCATAATGCATTCTAAGTGGAGAAATATCGAATGGCATTATAAGTGTATTCTAACTGTACTAGGAGTGCATTCTTAATATTCTTGCGGCATTCCAACAGCATTCAAAACATTCTTATCGTGTTTGAGGGAGAACTGAAATGACAAGACACTTCAAATCCTGCTAGAATGTTCAACATACACCTCAAATGAGCCATAATGCGACTCGAATGCATCTCAGTGGCTGCCGAAATCCTATTGCAGCCAGCAATCAAACTACACTCGTACGGCATTTGAAATGTATTCTAAATATTCCGACTGCATTCTGACAGCATTATTGATATTCCTAGTTTTCCAACTACAATTGAGCTGCATTTGAGAGCAAATACCCAAAATGTGCACGAATCATTCCAGGCGGATTCAAGCGCATTCTGAGTATTCCAACAGTATTCTTACAAGAATTTAGGTCAGTTTGAAATTTCTCCCCGAATATGGTGCGAATTTTGAAAATTCTTCATTCCGGCTCATTCTTCTTGATTACTGCTGATTCCAAAAATGGGTCACAGGGCCTTTAGGTATTAGTACCATGGCCATCATTGGCTGTCATTTTATTTCTATTGATCATTCTAACAAATATGATTCAGCTGCACAGGTTGAAAGTTTAATGATTTGACAATCATGTCGTGCAGTTTTTGGGTAGCATCTGCATGTCTAATGGAAAATTGAAAAACAGAATAAAAACTTATTAATTCTATTTGAACCTGTGATTCATTGAATTATCCACTCAGACTGCTGTAAACATGTCATGTGACCTTGAGTGCCATTTGTAAGTGATTTTGTGTCTATGATTTTTTTCCTGGGTAGCAATTCAGTGAAAAGGATATTTTTTTATAAATAAGAATCGAAAAAAAAAAAATAGATGCATTTGAACTCAGTTTTTTGCCACAAAGGACGATCATATGCCACCATATAGCTTCAAATAATATAACCTAGAAATATAGTCTCATATTACCTGAAAAATTATATTTGAAAAGATTTTTCTGCTTGCTTTCTGTGCTGTATATAAACAGGCAGATTAGTAGGTCAAATAAATAGGTCAAATTTACGACCAATTGAGTGATTAATTCCATTTATTCTGTTGTATGTCTACTTTATTTGGGCCGTTTGAGAAACAAGTAGCATTGGTTATTTACGTTACTGGGAATCCACAGTCCACAAACGCTTAGTACAAATGTACCTTTAAGTGTGAGTAAACTTTCTTGTGACTTACTCTAATTTAAGAATACCAAACAAGTCTATGATGACCCCCTTCCTCTCTCTCTCCCCCCCCCACCCCCCAAAAAAAGTAATAAAATAAGTAAAAAAAGAATAAGATAAAAATTTAAAAATTAATTTTATAGAATTAGCATTTATACCCTATTAAGACCATACACCATTAATCAGATTTTACAATAATTCTTCTTAACAGTACTGTGTAGCGAAATAAAGCTCAGGGCTGAAATAAAATTCAAGTCAAAAAATCACCACAGATATTCTACTATAACATTAATTCAGATATAGTTAAAGCAAGGAGCTATTAGAAATGGAAATTACACAGCACTCTCTCTGTTGTCCAAGGTCTGTTACAGTGGGCAGAGCTAGCTAAGGAGGGGGTGGGGGTCCTGATTCAAGGTTTCACCTACATCGTTGATCTCCTCATCTGCCAGATGGATTATATGGGTTATTTTGCCTGCTGACCAAAAGATCAATTATAGCTATTCAGCTGGTATAAGTCTTGGTTTTTCCCCTCAATGAAAAGATAGGAGATTACATGTGTTGTAAACACCTTGTTTACCATGTGGTTTTAGCACTTATGATACGAACAAAATGAGTAAAGTTTAGTATTTCATGCCTGATTCATTATCTAATATAAAAGAATTTCTGTTTCTGCATTGCAGGATGAAATATTAACTTCAAATTATAAGTAAACCTTAACAGTATTCTTTTTCTTTTGTCATCACCAGGGCTGAGTAACTTTCTTAAAATAAACAACTGAAACCTCCAAACTTGCCACCTAACATTCAAAGTAATTTACTCAAATGGTCAATTTAGCCTAACTACAGAAGGAAAGTGGATACCCCTTAATCAAAGAGGTGTCTTGCACACCTTGACTCAAAGGAAAATGGATAGGGAGATAACAGGTAAAGAAATTGATGGAGCCAAGGTGTATTTATACAGCACTGTTTCTTAGGTGTAATTTCTAAGATTTAATTTTATCGAAAATCTGAAAAAAAAAACATTCCAAGTGATAATAACAAAAAAAATAACCAAACCAAAGACACTGTAAAGCCAAGTTTCCTGTAAAAGTGCCGTGATGAAAATGTTGAGTGGGTGCTAAACTTTTTCAGTCAAAATAACTGAGCAGCTCACTTAAATAATATTCTCTGCACTCTGTCCTTACAGCATTTATATGAACTTTTTACTTCATTTCCATTTGCAACCTCTTGAAACGCTAGACTCATTCTAGTGAAGGGTCCTTTTCCAGAAAACGAGATTTAAATGATGCCATAATACCATAATAGAGATATTCACCCATTGTTCCCTGGGTTCTATTCATTCCAACAAAACTGACTTCACTTGAGCTCTCAGTGTCAGTTTCATTTTTCATTACTAAATATTTGACAAAAGAAAATATTTGGTTCAGGTTTATGGCCAGATTTTGTTAAAACAGATTAAAGAAAATGTACAAATTCTTGAGTGATTCTTAAACAGTTCTGGTGCATTGTTACTAAATGTCAAAGCAGGTCATTGTGGAACTTTAGTCCTTTAAGCTAATGTTGGACCATTTCACTACACAGACTGTTCAGACATTTGCTTTCAGACAGCCATCTGGCACTCTAAATGTGAACCAATAGCTAACTAGGGGGCAATTACAAAGATAAGGCACTTGTGCTAGTTATCTCTTCAATTTTTAAGAGGATTCTAAATTAGTAAGTCATGAAATGGTCTGTATCTGTATTCTAAAAGTCTGTGGCCTAAAGATTCAAAATAACACTGTTTATCAGCATTAGGGTCATATTTATCTTTGTATATTGATTTATTAAATATTTTTTCAGAATAAATGGAAGGTATAAGATTATTGCAGACCCCTTCTTCTCCTGATTTAAAATCCTAAATGCACTTATACACTGGACAAAAATTAAAAGTGAATGTTTTACATACATCATTTAATTATTTATGTGTCATGTGTATGGAACACCCAGCCCTTTGGGCTTATAAGACACCTGTTGTATACAATTTTTCCTGTCTTAAATCAAAAATCTTTACAAAAAATTTTACAAATTTTCTATAGAAATTTTATTTATGCCATTTGTTTTGATACCCAACTTTTTATAAAATGCATATCTTTCCTCCATGTAAGCAGTGTTTTAACTACTGTCTCAGCCTAATACATGTTCCATCTTTCTCCTACAGGCACCCACAGACCTTAAGAAAGAAACAAGAACAATAGCACTAGAAGCTCCAACTATAGGTAATTCTCTCTCTCTCTCTCTCTCTCTCTCAAGAAGAATTATTCATAGTACAAGATATTTTTACTTCATATTTTGTTTCTCATCTTCTCTGACCAATCTTTTATGTCACCTTTTAAGTGACCCCCAAGCCTGGGGAGCAGACACAGCCAGTGAAGAACAGCACACAGGCAGATAATGAGGCTGATGACACATTTTCTGAAAGAGAGGATAAGGCTAAGGTGTTTATGTTGTCTGGGATGTCCCCTCAGGTAGATATGCCATTTTATTTTTCCCACTGCTACCCAACCCTATCTCTATTGGTTATAGTTTTTGAGAGGTCCTATATGGACAGAATGTGTGGCATTCTGGGATCAGCATAAAAGATTGAATACACATAAAAGATTGAATATAGGTGCAGAGTAAGGGGAGTGAAACATGCTGGGGTCAGGTTTGGTGTAGGGTAAGGGGGAGGGGGGGAACATGGGGACTGGATTTGGTACAGAGTAAAAGGAGGGAGACATCTGCAGAATCTCAGAATAGAGCAAATTTGATATTTAAGATTATTCTGTTGACATTTTTCCCATCTCATTGATTTTCTTAGTTGATCATTTAAAAATGATAGTAAATTGGTTTTTTGTATAAAGTAAAACAAGTGTTGATAATGGAAATAAACTCATTTCAGTACAGTTATCTCTTGCTTACATTAATTTTTCAGATTTTCAAGGTGGGACTTTGAAGTTCCATTGGCCTGAAGACCTTTGTTAATCACATTTGTAACTTGCAGTGCATAATTAAAGATTTTTGGTGAATTTGCCTTAAAGCATTTGTAATATTGCATCAAAATTGAATAAAACCCTATTTTGGGCAATGCCACCATATTGACCATTAAAGGAAAACAATGTCATTATAAAACTTACAGAAAAGAAACATAAGACTAAAATTGAGGTTCAGTTGGAAAACCAGTCAGATTGTTTTATTACACTGGAAGTTTTTTTTTAAATTTATTTATCTATTTAATGCGAAATTTTGATTTTTACACATATTGGCATTTTCAGGGTGTGACTTTGCACTTCCATGGGCTTGAAAACCTATGTCAGTCACATTTTTTTATATCCATATATACTTATATTTTATTATTAAAAAGTGATGATCATTATGCTGTTAAGCATTTGGTAATATTGCATCAAAATTAAAGAAAACTATATTTTGGGCACTGCTGCCATAATGACCATTAAAGGTTAATATATTGCGCCCAGCTGCCTTGTTTGTTGTAGCCTTATACTGTAATTTTAGTTTGTTTTAATTTTTCCAGGAGCGTGATCATTATGGAGCCCTGATAGAGCTGCTAGGTGGTTGTCTGCTGGACTCACAGGTGTATGACCCAAGATGCACACATCTTGTAGTAGGTTAGTTATTATGCACAGCAAGATATACACATATTGTAGTAGGTTAGTTATTATGCACAGCAAGATATACACATCTTATAGTAGGTTAGTTATTATGCACAGCTCATTTCTTAAAGCTCAATAGCCAACATTAGGGATTTTGTTACAAGAACAAGAGAGACAATTAAGTGCTACAATAAAAGACAAAACATACCTTTATACTCCGTAATTTAACATTGTCTCCATATTTTTGGGTCTAAAATAAATTTATGTTATATATCAAGTCGTGTTGGTTATTAGAAAATAAAATGAGGATATCTAAGTCAATATTGTACTCATAGTGAATATTTTGATCCATGTTTACCTGCAGTGCATTCTTGAAGATTGGTGGTGACTATTCTGTTAAATCATGATATAATATTGCATCAAAATTGATGAAAACCCAATTTTGGGCACTGTCGCCATAGTGACAATTAGTTGGAAAATGTCTGATTGGTTGATTTTTGTGGAAGTTATACAGATTTTTGTGAGAATTAGATTTTTCACATATTGGCAATTTCAAGGTGTGACTTTTAACCTCCATGGGCTTGAAGACCTTTGCTAATCACATTTTCTGAATATCCATAATACTTTTATTTTATTATTTTATTATTAAAAATTGATGGTCAGTATGCTGTTAAAGGGATAACAACTTCGTATGAGATCTATATTTCACAATAAATACATCGTAAACAACTCGTAGAAATATAATACAATTCTATTTTACCACAAAAACAGCAATTAGAGCAATAAATCTGAAATCTGTGTTTGCCATTTGGCCACGTGACCTCCATAGATGGCTATACTCTATACAAATCTCTTAAAAGATTATTACAAAAAAACTTACTTTTGAGAAAAAAAAACAGGGACTAACTTTGAATGTAGAAGTGGATTCATTAACCATTGGTAAGTATGGGAAAATTGATGTTTACCCCAGGAAAATTAATTTTTTGGGCCAAAATGAACAGTTGTTATCCCTTTAAGCATTATGTAATATTGCATAAGTTAAGGAAAACCCTATTTTAGACACTGCTGCCAGGGTGACCATTAAGGGAAAACCATGTTACTTATGATTCTCATACTTACTGAAAAGATTCATAGGACTGAAGTGTAGCTTGCGTTGGAAAATTAGTGTGAAATAGTTTTCTGTTTAGGAAGCAATGCAGTTCTTTATGAAATTTTCATTTTTAAGTACAGACATAGATGTGTCTGTACATATAGCCGTCACCTGCGTCTGTCGTCGCTGCCGCCATCACTGTGCAGTTTTACCGATAACATGATAAGTGGAAAACCATTTTACCTTTTGGTTTGAAACTTACAGAACTGATGAATATTCATAATACCCAGGTCCAGTTCAAAAATCGGCTTGATTGGATCCAAACGCACACAGCAGTCTGAGGATCTGCTGCCTGAGACCTCACTAGAAACTGACCAATTAGTGTTTTCTCACATAACTTATGAGTCTGCCCTCTTCTCACTTGAAATTTAAAAAAAAATTGTTAGTGATATATAGTATTTATATTGTAAATAAATTAGTTAGAATTTAGTTTTTTAGAAAACAGCAAGTCTTTAAAAGACTTTTTTGTCTTTTAGATTTAAAAAATATTATTTCATCCAATACCACATACATTTTTTATTATTATAAACATGCAAAAAAATTTTTTTAATTGGTTAACATGTGATTGCACAAGATACTGACATTGACAATTACCAGTACAGAAAAATATTACCTTTATACAGATTTTACATTTTTATCCATCTGTAGGAAAAGGTTAATGGTTAATGTTTTTTATTTTTATTGTCATATGTAAAAGGGTCAAGTATTTAGAACTAAATTATTAAAGTTTAAATGGAATAAGATGTAGAATCCAAGTGCAGGGACTACAGCCATGACTAGTGTGTAGGAGAAAATTGCCCTTTTTCCTTTGAAATTTTATTTTGGCAGGAAAATTCCATGGAGAGTTGTTACTTTTCTCCTTTCTTGATATAAAGATGCAGGGGAGCTGTGCCAGATGGTAGTTATTATTTTATTTTCTGATGCTATGAAAGGAAAACTGTGTTAGTATTTATTACTGTATTTTCCTCATAAATAATTGCCATGGTGTTTATGATGTAAAGCATTGTGCAATGACAAAATGACCTATTTTGTGCATCTTATTTCTGCTTTTTGTCTGTACATTTGACGATTTTTTACCTTGTAGTTGTGTTTCACCTGTATGGGAAGGGTATAATTGTTAACAATTAAGGGATGCATGTAGACATGTTTAATGCATAATTGGGATGAAATTGTGGTATGCTAGTTAGGTTACAGTAAATTTCTGTCGTAATGGTAATTGACAACCATTTTGGATATTACATATTTCCCATGCAGGATATTCTTGGGGACCTTTAAAATTTTGATTAAAAGATTTCAAGGAAATGCAAGATGAAATGATTAATTCTGCTGCGGTTTTGTCCTGGTGAAAGTGCACATTGCCTTGACAAATTATGGAAAAAAAAATCAAGTAGACGAGGTTTGGTCAAAACACAATTTTTCAAATGGTTTAATAAATTACTGTATACACATCCTGTATAAATCTTGTTGTTTAGTTATTGTACACATCACATGCACTTTGAAGTGAATTAGTTATATGATAACAAACACGCATACATTGCCATCTACCTCTTTATTACAGTTTGCCTAACTTGATTTTTTCTCTGAATGTTTCTTTTTTATGTGGACTCCTACCAAAAGTCTAATTGATTTTTTTTTTTTTTTTTTGTAGGTACCCCTACTAGAAATGAGAAGTATCTTGCCTGTGTTTCTACTGGAAAGTGGGTGTTGCACAAGTCTTATTTTGAGGCCTGCAAAACAGAGGGGAAGTTTTTAGATGTAAGTATTTTAAGACCTGAATATATATGTTTGTAAAATACACAGTAAGAATTGTGTTCAATTGTATCATCAAGGCATTGAAACTATCGTGGATACGTAGACTTCTTGATAATGATATTATGCTAGACTATTTTTGGAAATCACTCATTGTAATCTCACTATTCTTTGTCTCTTTGGACCAAATTATTCAAGAGTTGGGTAGTAAGCACCACAAATTTTTTGGAAGGAAATACTGCTAGCTTTGGCTTCTCTGAATTTTCTTCACAACTGCCAGTAAAAGGAAATAATGACTTACTTAAGGCCCCACTTTGGTACAATCCTTCTCTTAAGATTGGTAATCAGTCTGTATTTTATAAAGCATTATGTGAGAAAGGGTTTCATGTGATACAAGATGTATTTGACTCTGATAATCAATTCATAGCATATGAGTTGATTAGAAATCAATGTGAGGTAAAAAATTCCCTTCACGTTATGTTACATCAAACATTAATATGTAGATTTCCCAGTAGTTAAAGATTTTTGGAAAGGAATAGAAAACTGGTTAAGACAGGAATCAGAAAGTCTCCACATCAGTTCATTTCAGCTGATATAATTTAAGGGAACACAGATAAGGTTTAGCATAATGTTATACTTTAAGCAAAATTGTATATTTATCAAAAAGATAAACTCTTTGTTTAATTGATTTAGAAACATTACATAATTTTATATTATTGGAATAATTCAATAAAATTAGGTAAAACTTTATTAATGAGAATATGTGAGAGTGAATGAGTGGAAGGCATATTACGCATTGTGTTGGGTGTGTATTGTGTTTTTTTTTATGTGAATAAAACATTTCAAAGGAATGCTAACAATTTTTCTTTAAGTTAAGCCTTTTTTTATTTTTCATTTTTCACAAATTAGGATTTTCAAGGTATGACTTTGAACTCTCATGGCCCTGTCAGCCCTCTACCAGTTACATTTTCTGAATGTAAGATTATTTTTGATCTGAAATTGGAGTTTCAGGCCAAATCAGACACACTAGTATATGAGGGCATTCAGAAAAATTTGATCAGTGGACTAACAGATCTGTGGGCTAAATATGGCCCATTCACTTTAAAGCAACGTAGACTTCTTCCTTGTTGGTCTCACCACCTTCACCTGTCCCGTAACTGCAAGAGCCTAACAATTAAACTTCGGAGCTGAGATTTAATCCATTTAATGGTGTGTGGAGGCAGGGAGACCATCAGGGAATTAACAGTATCGCTTTCTTAATGGGGTCGTCCATATTTAGTTGGCAGATCAGTTAGTCTGTAGATAATCTGTTCTGAATACACTCTATGTATCCCCTTTCAGGAAGCTGACCATGAGTGGGGAGGTCCAGCCATGGATAGCCTGTTACACACCATGAAGGAACAAGTTGTAAAACTTGGGAAGGCAGCTCATCGATGGAGACTTCACATTGCTCAAACTAGAATGGTAAGCATTTCAAGCAGCAGGCTGTGTCAAAGCAGCTTTAAAAGTGATTTTTTCGACAGACACTGTGCGTCTGCCATATATCCATCAACTGCAACTGTCCTTTGTTGTCAGAGATGGTGGTAGCACTTTCCAGCAAATCAATTTTAAACTAGAAAAAAAACAATCCTTTTGACAAAAGTGTTTTCAGTGTGTGTTGAAATGAAATTTGGGAACCTTGATGGATTAGTCTTACACCCCATTTCCATAGATTAGATCGACCTACTTTAGATCGACCTAACTCCCTGGGGGTTCACGCTAAATAGCTGTCAGCCGGGCGGACACGAAAGTTAATTACCCTCTTACAGCTTGCAGTAGGCGGGACGGACATTTAAGTCGGATTATCTGAAAGTAATCTAGTGAGACTCCCCGCGGGGATAGATCGATCTAAAATCTATGGGAATAGAGCCTTGAATTGTCCCTTATACTTAATGATATTTGTTATGTCAGTGTGATCTATTCTGTTCTGTTTAATTGTCATTTGTACATACTTTATGAAAAGTTACCATAAAACAAATTTTCCCGAGGTAAATGAGAATTTTCCGATTCATGCCAATGGTATGGTTTTTGTAAAAATCATTTAGCACATTATTATTAAGAATGTATTATGAAGGGCGAGCATGACTGTCAATGCACAATCTCCAATGTCCCTTGACACTTTGGGTGACATATTTTAATACATCTGGAAGTTCCAATCTAAAAAGGATTGGGTAGAAAACAATGAATTCTAACAAGTCATAAAACAGTAAATTTAGTCCAGTAAAATAATTTTATTTATACTACCGTAGTACATGCACATGTTCTTGTGGCTCTTCAATGTACATTTGCTATTGATTAAAAACAATAGCAACTTCTTGTACAGGTCCGGCACTCAATTAAATCTCAAGTGTAACTAGTATTATTTTTGCTGTTAAAGCTGATAATCCCTCAATAATACATATCATTAACAAAAGAGTGGTATTGTGCATGTATGAGAGAATAAAGCCATAATTATGCTTCTGTATTTGAAATCTACAAAAATATGTGTCCATAATTTTTAATTGTGTTCCCATACTATGGCATTTACTTGTCACTAAGCACATGGATGTTATGATGTTTTGGTCAAGCCTAGATAATAATCACTCAAAATCATATTTTACATGAAAATTATGTATTTTCCTTTTTATAACTAAATGGATAGCTGAGTTACACAAATTAAAATATGATGTTACACATACTGATCACCCATAGTTACTATTGGACTTGAATAGGAAATCATATATAGGGCATGTTAATATGACTTTCTTATTTCGACCTTTGATCTTCTTTTGCACTTTTCTTTTCTAGCCAGTGTCTCCAAAACTAGCAGAAATAAACTCATAGTTACTGTTGAACTTGAATAAGAAGTCATATATTGTACTTTTGTGCTTAATCTCACTGGTGGTACAATACCTGGTGGCGGTATCGTATATGTGACCACGTAGCTAGATGATGTTGCCTTAAGGTTTATCTTGATGCTTTTTGGAGGTACATACATGTAGGGGTGCATTCCCAGAGATTTAGATCGATCCAGAGATTTAGATTTAGATCGACCTAACTCCCTGGGGGTTCACGCTAAATTGCAGTCAGCCGAGCGTGCATCATAGTTAATTACCCCCTTACAGCTTTTAGTAGACGCTTCAGCCAGCTAAGCTGACAGTAATCTAGTGAGACTCCCCACAGGGATAGATCGATCTAAAATCTATGGGAATGGGGTCTAACAGACCATTCCATTCGGTCATTCCATTTGGTCCATTCACCAAAAAAGATCCTCATTTCATCATTTATTTAAACTGTTTTAAACTAAATGACAAACAATACATACGGAAGTACAAAATCTTTTCTGGTTAAGACTTGCAAAAAGAGTTGTCAATTTCAGGTGCCATGGAAACATTTTTTAGAAATCTGTCAGATAAACACCCTTTTAAACTTTTAATCCACTGACCCACCTTTTGATCAACAAACAGACTAATATAACACTAAGAACACAGAGAAGGGCTGTAAAACAACATTGAATTGGTCAGCAAACAGATTAAAATTAATCAATATTAATTAATTGTTTAATGCTAAAAACAACAGAAAGACTTTAGAACAACATTAAATTGGTTGACAAACAGTCTATATAATACTAAGAACACAGAGAAAAACTTTAGAACAACATTAAATTGGTTGACAAATAGTCTATATATAACACTTAAGAACACAGAGAAAGACTTCAGAACAACATCAAAGCCAGAAAATATTGCTTGTATTTAACTCTAAGAAACTTTTCTGGTGATCAATTTAGATCCCATTCTTGAGAAGTTATATAACTACATGTATGATACATTTGATCAAAAGTATATAAATTTTTTTCCTAGTTCTTTGATTGCCATTTAAGATGTCTTACTTTATTGTTGTGTACTGAATCTGCACAAACAATGTCAGGAACAGAACACATGACAATCATTTTATTCAATTTCCTTACAGCATTGTAAATGTGCTGGGGCATTTGAAGGCTGGAATGTGATCATCTGTACAGAGATAAGTAAGGAAGGTGGATTCAAGAGATTACTTGAGGCTGGAGGTGCCAAGGTCATAGCCACAAGGTGAGGAGAGAACTTAAGGGCAGTCTAACTTTCACTTGGATGTGGCCAACTATAAGATTTGGGTTAGTTATTAATTTACTTTGTGCATGTTAATGTTTTAAGCAGCTTATTTCAGTGACTTCAGTTTGACTGTCAGAGATGATTTCACAAAAACAAAATGATGTGAGTCAATCATGAGACTAGAATGTGAAAATGGGCTTTTTATTACTTTTATGGCACTGCATGCATCTTAAAACTTTGATATATTCTGAAAATCTTCAATAATAATAAACATTAAACACATGATAAAGAAGCCCTTTTGCTGGATGTATTTATTATCCAAAATGATAATTTCTGGAAATTTACAGTCTTCAACACACCAAGGTAATTGGCATGATGTAGATAAGTTAGAAGGCTATTGTAATCATTGTAATATTGTGTGATTGTTATTATCACTTCACATTATCTACTCTCTTTGTGATGCACAAAGTTTCTCAATGACATCCTTGTTAGAGTCACTGACAAACAATTCTGGCATATAGCTGTTTTTGTGTTATCCTTTGCAAAACTAGCCTACCTAATACAATCATTGTCACCAATTTGTTAAATGCCTGATTTACCGATGACATTTTCATGGCAAAAAAATTATTTATAATATAAATTCCCCACAAACTATCACAACTGAATACCTACTTGCAAATAAAGTTAAAGCTTTAAAGAAAAAAAATCTTATACTCATCAGTCACTGTAAATTTTGAATGCAGTTTTTGAGCGCACAATTTTGTTGAAATGTACTGCAAAACATTTCAAAAATTATCTAAAATAAGAGCCTGTTGCCCATTCTGCTCTAAAATTTTCAGAGTAACTTATTCTGAACTGGACAGCAAAGCAGGCTTATGTAGAGACATAAACAGAAGAAAGCATTGCAATAATATTTTACAAAAAAAAAAAAAAAATCATTGTAGTAATAAGAATCTAATTTCAAAAGGAATCTACCTTTTTCCTGCCAGCACATCTTTTGTTTGCCTTAATTTACAGTTCAGTAGATTCCTGTAGTAACAGCAGCTGATCTTTGACCTGGTCTGTCACAGACAGCCTGTCCACGCCATAGAGGACATTTGGCCATAGAGCTTGTCTCACTGCCCTACGGCATAGGTCACTTAGAGGAGGAGCACTGCTCAGATAGTCCAGCATCCAGTCATGCTTGGACTTGTCAATAGTTTTTATGAGACTCCTTTCTGGTACCGTAGGTCTGTATCCCATCTCTAAAATAATAGTGATTAATTCCAGGGTTGNCATCTGTGTCTGTACATAAAAAAGAATTTTTTTAATATTAAAAGAATTAAATGTATTTTTAATTAATTTTACCACCCTATCAACTGGTAATTAACCTGATTGACTTTATTCACTTGCTCTACTTCTATAATAAGGTTCATAAGAAAGTACAGTAACCAAAACTCTTACAACATCTGCTTAAACTTTTTAAATGAATTATTTAAATTGGGCTAGTGTTTTTTGGTTCGGGCTAGTAAAGTCTGAGAGAAGCTTTTTTCGTTTCGCGTTCAACCCCAGCAATTAAAATTAAATTAAATTTTTAAGATTAAAATATAGATATAGGTAAAAGTTATATTTATTTCATACTAATTTTTTATATATCCATTTTATTTTTTATATATTATGATGATGATGAGCTAGCAGAGGAGGATGTGTACAAACAGTTAAAGGAACTGACTGGAATATGAATGTGTTTAGATAATCATATAGAAATAAAAATGGATGTTAAACATGTATGCGTTTTCGTTATCTAGTAGCTTGAAACCAGTACCTCTAAGGTCCACTGGTCTGTATTGGCCAGTCCTGCCCAAATTCTGTTTTGACCCCTGCTATTACAATCATTGTCACCAATTTGTTATTGATTTACCGATGACATTTTCATGGCAAATAAATTATTTGTAATATAAATTCCCCATAAACTATCACAACTGAATACCTACTTGCAAATAAAGTTAAAGCTATAAAGAAAAAAATTCTTATACTCATCAGTCACTGCAAATTTTGAATGCAACAATGTTTTGAGCGCACAATTTTGTTGAAATGTACTGCAAAACATTTCAAAAATTATCTAAAATAAGAGCTTGTTGCCCATTCTGCTCTAAAATTTTCAGAGTAACTTATTCTGAACTGGACAGAAAAGCAGGCTTACGTAGAGACAATGAACAGAAGAAAGCATTGCAATAATATTTTACAAAAAAAAAAAAAAAAAATCATTGTAGGAATAAGAATCTAATTTCAAAATGAATCTACCTTTTCCTGCCAGCACATCTTTTGTTTGCCTTAATTTACAGTTCAGTAGATTCCTGTAGTAACAGCAGCTGATCTTTGACCTGGTCTGTCACAGACAGCCTGTCCACGCCATAGAGGACATTTGGCCATAGAGCTCGTCTCACTGCCCTACGACATAAGTCACTTAGAGGAGGAGCACTGCTCAGATAGTCCAGCATCCAGTCATGCTTGGACTTGTCAATAGTTTTTATGAGACTCCTTTCTGGTACCGTAGGTCTGTATCCCATCTCTAAGATAATAGTGATTAATTCCAGGGTTGCAAAGTGGCCATGTTTGCTGTCATGCAGTTTGTTCAGGATTGACCACAGACTGACATCATGTTTAAGGCATTTCACAACATCATTTTCACCTTCAATCAGAGTACGTAGAATGGTGGCACATCTTTCACTGCTGGACCTAGCTTTCCATTTTTGTACCAATATCCGGAGAGGACAGTCTTGGACTTGGTTGGGTATATTATGGATACCCTGATGAGAATTGTTTGGCAATAGTTGAGGCACAAAAGACTGCATTTTGGCTCCCTTTCGTAGAAGCGTGCGGACTATATCAGGGTTTCCACAGTGTATTGCTAGGTTAATAGGTGTTGTATTGGCACTGGTCCAGATAGCATTTACATTGCTGCCATTGGCCACTAACATGTCCACGCAGCAGGTCTGTTGGTGGATTATAGCCTCATGAAGTGGTGTAGCACCACTATAGTTGCATAGGTTGGGGTCTGCCCCATACTGCAGAAGAAGACTCACCATGCTGGCAGCAGTGTTGTAATCCAGACCTACAGCATAATGTAGAGCTGTGTTCCTGTTCATAGGATGATTACTGTTGGGGTTGACTCCTGAACAAAGCAGTTTCCTTAGCCAGTCTAAATCCCCTGCTCCTGCAGCCTGCACCAACTGGCACTGGTCGTGTAACCTCATGGGATCTGGGTCATCAGGAACCCTTACGCTGATCAGATTTGCACTGATGCATGCCTTTGTATTATTGTCATAGTCCTCATTATCAACACATTTCTGATCACTGGCAGGGTCTTGTGATCTCTGTATCCAATTATTTCTTTCTATGTTCACATTTTCTTTCAGGCTTATTGCTATTTCAGAAACAGCATCTTGATGAGGATCTTCTGACAGATTGTGCAGTGACTTTTGATTGTCATTACTCTTCTGAACAGTATATCCAAGTTCTTTTACGTTTTGTAAGTCAGTCAGACCTAGTTGATTTTCCTTTGTGGGATTTTTGGTAATTACCACTTGCTCAAGTGAATACACAGCTTTCTGATCACTTAACTGTTCCCCATTCCCAAAATTAAAGAAGAAACGCCCCTTACATGTATCTTTTTTACTTGATTCAGCAATATCATCAATGTCACGTTTAATTGCCTTTTTCTTCTTTTTTTTCTTTTTTACTTTTTCATTCTTTTTCATATGGTCTCTGTGTAATGGAGAATTAATCACATGTGTTTGACATCTTCCAGTTAATTCAATGGCATTCATCTTCTGAGGAAGATCTGAGTCACGATGATCATCAGAGAGCTTTGGCTGAACCTTATTTTGATCTTGTGTTTGCTCTCTTCCAGTGGACATAACCTTCTTTCCTAGTATGTCATCTTTCACTAGAACACCAGAATCAAATTGTTTCCTTTTGTGCATATTGGTTTCATTTTCATTGTTTTGATCATTATTATCTGTTTGGGACTTTGGTTCAGAGGCAGTGTCTTTTGTATCAGGCTGCATGAATAATTCCCCAGAAATGATTGGGTTTTTGACAAAAGGCTTTTTTGGGTTCTTAATGTTTGAGATGTCTTGTGGCAATGACAGATTGGCTTCAGTTCCAGTGTTGTTAGACGAGGTTTGGAAGCTCCAGTTGTCTTGCTGCTCAAATGGTGGTCTTTCTAAGGCCCCACGTGTCCCTAGCTCCATTAGCTCTATCTCACTGGTGTTAAACCTATTGTCCTCTGAACTTGCCAACCCATCACCATCTTTAACGGAATTGAAGAGTCTTTCAACAGAGTGTAGGGCACGATGCTTTGCTAGATTTTTCATCTGGCTAGTCTCTGTATATGAATGAACATTGACAAAGATGATAGATATATGGATAAGATCAGCAGCAGTGCAATTTCTCAATGAAAAAAAAAAGAACTTTGATAACATTTAATTGTACATTATGTTCTCCTTATCATCATTTGCCAGCTTCACCTGTTTCATCCATTGTTTACTTAATTTTCAAAGTGTAGAGGCTTTTCCTGCTTTAATGAAACGTTATTTCTCTATTTCTGATCTTTACAACTATTGATTTTTAAAGACAGGCAACATGCATAAGACCTTTATATAGCAAAATAATTCATTTAGGTTTTCCTTTATGGTATGCAATACTCAAGGATGACTGGTAGATCAGCAGAGGTACACTGGTATAAGTGATTTAAAAACATCCCCCTTACACATTGTTACTTAAATTTTGCTTCAAACCTATTCCTACCCAAATCCATTTTCTGAATACTATGATACTTATAGTATCAATAAGATTGATGATTATGCTGTTAACCATAATGTTATATTTTATCAAAATTGACAAAAACACTATTTTTTATTCACTGACAAATAAAACCACAAAAAGGAAACTTAAAATTTTAGGGTGATTCCCATAACTAAGTACAGCTTGGGTGGGAAACCATTTTTTTTTTTCTTTTTTTAGCTATGCATTTTTTGTGTGAAATTTTAATTTTTTTTAAACATTGAGATTTTAATTGTGTGACTATGACCTCTCATAGGCCTGAAGCCCTATGCTTATTATATTTTCTCAATGTCCATGATACCCACTGCAGAATTAATATTTGCAATTGATTTTGCTGTGAAGCATATGTATTATTGCATTAAAATGACAAAATAACTTGTTTCGTGCATCTTTTTTCTGCTTTTTGTCTGTCCATTTGACAGCCCTCCTGCTTTGTTTTATAACATTTCCCAAGTGTATCAAATAACTTGTGTGCATTATCTACCTGGTCAATCACAAACACAATACATGTTGATTCTTTTGGAGAATAAAGCACAGCTTTGAAAAAAGTAACAATTGCTAGTGATTAAGCATTGGGGATACACTTCAGCTTGGGTGTTAATTAAGAAGAACAAGGTTTATAAGGTAAAATAATCATAACAAGGTCAGCTCAAATCATCCTCTAAATGTGCACAGCACTTTTCCCAGTATTATATCATCAAAAGAATGATTGATGAGCCTTGAGAAACCGCAATTTACTTGGACAATCTCCAATTTGACACTTCCCTTTTATTGTGGAATTTTTTTCTGGCATTTGAAATTTGCTATGCCCTGTGCTAATTTGTACAACTGTTCTGTAATTTTCAGAATAAAAACTAACATGGTTTTCCTTTAAAATTTATAATATGCAATACGCAAGAATGATTGGTAGATCAGTGGAGGTACACTGGTATAAGTGATTTTAAAACATCCCCCTTAACACAAATATTATTTAAATTTTGCTTCAAACCTATTCCTACCCAATAGTCTAACGCATGTTGTCCATCTTAAAGTATGGTAATAACTCGGTCTTTTCAATAAGAAAAAAAATTTTTTTAAATATCAATCTTTTAAATACATAACTTTGGAATCACTGAAAATATATTTCTGTGTAGCATTTGTGGTGCTTTCATAGAACAAAACTACAGAGTAGCCTGCCATTCAGTTTTGTTGCTATCACAATAGAAATGTCCTAATTTTCAGTACTAATGATTTAAAAAATTGGATATCTATATAATTCATGATTTTCCTTATTGAAAAGATCAATATGGCTTATATGTTGGAACAACTTACCTATGTTGTCATGCGTGGGGTCTATGCAATTTGTGTCATCACCAATATTAAAGACCTTCCCGGTAACCACAGGCTTGAACATGCTGTGAGAAGTTGTTGTAATTGGTTTCTTCTGCCCTGTTTGATGAATTGGAGAGGATAAGAGCCGTCTGGCTGGGTGTGGTCCATTTCTGCTTGCTACAAGTATGTGATGCTGGTGTGGGTGGTGACGCAGGTGGTGTCTACCAGATTGATTGTGAGAAACAGGATGTCTGCTTGTGGTCTTTGAGCCCTGTTGTCCCATGTTGGTCACTCTAAAATAATAACATATCACAAAGCTGTGTTGTGCCATGCTGGTCACACTGAAATAGTAACATACTACAAAGCTCTGCTATCCCATGCTGGTCACACTGAAATAGAAACATACAAGAAAGCTCTATCCCATGCTGGTCACACTGAAATAGTAACATACTAGAAAGCTCTGCTATCCCATGCTGGTCACACTGACTGAAATAGTAACATATCATTAAAATTTATTATATGGTGCATACTTATATTTAATTACCTCTGACAGTGAGGTTATGTTTTTGGTCTTGTTAGTTTTTTGTTTGAAGGATTTTGTGAAAAGTCATGGATGGATTTTGGTTTAATAAAATTAAGGATAGGTCACAAATGGGCCAGGTGAGAAAAGATAAGGGCATACATCAATGTTTTAGTTTTCAATCAAATCAACAACAGTATCCATTCACCGGCCCCTACCGTAGCGAGGAGCTGCCATCTTGATTTGACTTTCTCCAATTAAGTCTAAAAAATCGCCGTTTTCTCGCTCATATATATTTCTATCGTCCTTAAAAAATGGTAGAAATAAGAGACAAGAAACATATCCAGATGTTAATTCTATATCATTTCATGACTCACGATACAAAAGAGTACAGAAGACGATCTTTCTAGGATACGCATATATGCAGTTCTGGCCTTTGGGGTAAGCGATAATTGAACCGCACATATGCGGTGACGGCCTCTATGGGGTTAAACTGATTGAACAAGGTGAATGATATTGCGGATGTTCTTATTAATCAAAGATATGGTTTCTCATTTAATTGAGTTACCTTATTTTACTCTATACAAACTGAAACATATAATGAATAATTAAAAATGCTACTTCATCACTCACTTTAAAAAGTATTTGGAACACAATAAAATTGGATTTTTTTTTTTCTATTCATGTTATGTTATAACTAGTTAAGACTTACATGTATTATAGGCTCCAATACAAGTCACATAAAAGCTGTATATGGACATATTTGTGTTAACAGTGGCAGACATAAAGAAAATTGATTAATTTTGCCAGGAAGTAAGTTTCTGAATTTATGAAAGAGCTTTAAATCAGTTCCATCTGTTATTATTACAGTCTTGGGTAATTTTATGACCATGTATATTCTTTTAAAGTTTTAAGTTGCTTGATGGGAGGTTTAAATGGAAAAATTAATTAAGTCATAATGATTACCCTACCTAGTGTTAATGTTCAGCATGCTATTATGTTTTTACCTTGTATTGTTCTTATAACCTCTGTGGCTTCGTGGTGGATGCTATGAGTTGGGATATGTATTAAAAAGGATGCCCCCGCTTTAGGTACATGGGTGAAATGTAAAATTCATAACTAAGCACCATAACTATAAGGCTTTAAGGTTTAGAAGTTTATGCAGTATAAATAAGCACTTGTGTGGTATTTAGTGTCACTTTGATAGAACTTGATTGTTAGCAAATTCAGCATAGAAATGGTGATCATGTATAACATCTAAACTGTACATGTAGTTTCTATTTCCAGGGCAAGAGTCACATGTCTTTTTAAAACTCACCTTTTAGGCAGTGTTGATTAAGATCCAAGTAGCTAACAATACTCCACTTTCTTCTGGGTTTAGATTAGAAAATTTTGATGCTATCTTAGTTAATAAGTTAGCCTTTTTAGAATCCCTGTTAGATTTCTTCCTTGTCCTAATTTGTCGCTGTGGAAAGGCTGTAGAATAATTTTGCTGTGCTATGACCCTGATCCATAAAGACGGATTCCTTTCCTTTCTCACAATGGCTAGCTTAGGTGCCTTTTGTTGTGGTAGCAACTGCTGATATAACAGCTACTGCTTTCCTGGACAATAGAATGGAATGTGACTGGTGTTTGTTATTGGCAGCCTCTTGAGCAGCTGTATGCCCAGTAGTAGATTAATAACATTTAAGGTGGTGAATGAAATATCTTGCTTTCACCAAAAATTGTGATTTGGGGTTTATAACAATTAATTTATTTTTACTATTCTCCTTATATTATTTTGTGTGCTCAAATTTATCTTATATCTACAGAGAGGTCTAGCTGTTTACCTTTCACTTACACGAAAGTACAGTAGGTCGTATGTACTATTATACCAAGAATGTATTACCAAGAATGTTCAACCAAAATGGCCAAAATGAGCCCTTCACAATGGAGGACACCTCTGCTCACAATGTGAGAATGTGTGAAGGGAGACAACTGCAATTGGAAGTCAGACCATTAATAGCCAGCTCATTGCTTAAGAACATGCAAGCTTGTTACCTCGCCAAGGAGGTTATGTTTTTGGTTCCGTTAGTTTGTCTGTATGTTAGTAACATTACAGAAAAAGTTATGGACAGAATTTGATGAAATTTTCAGGAACTGTCAGAAGTGGGCCAAGGAACAGATGATTAGTTTTTGGTGGTGATCCATATCAATATTCAATCAATAATAAAAAAACTAAATCATTTTAGAATGAAAATTTAGGGGTGAAATGGCATGGGTGGAGATTTTGCTGCCTTGGCGGAGGTCTGCGCTCTCAGAGTGCTTTTCTAGTTTATGATCTGAAATTGCTGTTTAAGACCATTTAAACCATGCCTAGCGTGTAGAATAAAAGACTCGACCGTGCTGTATTCGACATACAAGCATGTCATGTACGAGTGCATATTTTACACTCCTGCTACTCACTAGTGAATTAGCCAATCAGAGGCCGTGGTTTAAGCCAGATACATCACTCGTCGCCGAGCTGTATATAAGAAAATTACTTGTGTATATTGGCAATACACTTGAAATGTTTCACGTACAGCTCGGCAACTTTTTTTGTATCTATTACTTCAGGTACACTGGTGAAATGACACCAAAATGCAATGTTAGTTATGTCCTTGTTGAGAATTGTGGATATGATCCAAGATTTTAGATCTTTCAAAGATTACTCTATGGGAAATTAGGGTCAACTTGTACAATATTTATTGTTTAGAATAGTGCATTGTTTCCATAAAATGGATCTAAACCAACTAAAAATCTGTAATATATTTAGTTCAAAAGTAAAAATGAAAAACATGATAAAATTTAACATTTAGTGCAATCATCTTGTGGAAAGCATGTTTTCCCTGGCTGTTGTCGACCATGTTATATTTTTTATGGCACCAGAACTTATCCAAATAGTAGGGAGAACTATACTAACATGTTTCTAGCACACAAATAAGCCAAAGTTGTGTTTTGACCAATTTAATTAGCCTAATATATGGAAATTAATACTTTTTATTGAGCATTGGCGGCCATTTTGCAAAAAAAAAAAAAAATCATGATTGTCTAGAATATGGAACGAACTTTATTCATTGGGATCAAAATAAATATGATAAAACAAATACCTGCAATATGTACCAAGTTCAGAACTGATTGAAAAGTGAAATAATACAGTATTTTGTGAAAATCTGTAATGAAAAAAGATGTGTCTATCAAAGTTATAATTGACTTTGCAGCTAATGTGTAAAACTATCAGTAGTCTCAAATATTTAAGATAATTTAATAGTTAAAAGGGAGGTACACTTTCTGGAGACTTTAAATCAATAAAATACTTACCCCTTTATCTTCATGCTGCTTTTTATGGACTTGCATCAGATAATTGTTGTGAACTTGTATATATATGAAAAGATGCATGTTATGATCTAAGGACCAGTTATTATTAAAACTTCAATGTGCAAGGCTTAATACATTTCATGAATTTCAACCAAAACTATCTTTTTGTTATTTCATTTATTTTCTTCTGTACCAAATTCATGGCACATAACTATAACTCTGTAAAACTGTAACTCAGCAAAGATACACACATGTAGTCCCTTATATCTCCAAAACTTAATCCCCCCCTTTATTTATGTCTGGTTACTTGCTGGTTCCATGGTTCTGTTATTGATATATGCTTCTGTATTGAGCTTTGCTTTAAAGTAAGCGCACATTCTGTGTAGTCCTAGCAAAATATGAACAAATTAGTTACAATATAATCAGATGGTGATTAATTTTTAGGCCTCCATTCAGCAAGCTGACAGAAGTAACCCATGCCTTCATGGACTTGGCAAAAATCAAATATGAGGTAAGAATTTATATGTACGAGATGAATAACAGTTTTAACAAGTCACATTACTTTGCTTCTATTTTGTCAGTATTTCACCTGATACTACCTGAATTTTTTAAAACAGTCCTGTTGCTGATATTGGTCTGTACATATGACAACTTTGCTGCCTTGTTTTAATATATAGTTTATGAATGTGAAGGCTTCTAAGGATAACTCTATTTTGAAATCAATAAACATTAAATGCATCTTGAAGAATCTCCTTTTGCTGTTCCTGTATACTTATATATAGTACATAAAATGATATTTTGTGGAAATTTAGTCTCAGCAGGGCAAGTAAAAATTTTCCTTCAGAATGCCCGTGGGCACATCTATTTATTCACGGGCGTGTTTAAATTATGCAGTTCTGTACCCTAACTTGCCCGAACTAAACATATTTGAAGAAAAAAATGATCGACGATGTTTACTTCCGCATTGTTCTTCAACTGCTAAAGCAGTTGTAACGTCTGTTATGATTAGTCAAAAAGGTTTTTTTCCCCATTCAAGTAGCCAATCCAGTGCACTCGGTAGGATTTTTCTAAGGGAGTACCGTACCCCTTGCCCAAAAAAAGAAGGGGTAATTTTCAAAATGAAGGGGTAAAATTAAAAAATGCTCATCAAGGTGTAATTTTGTGTATTAATAATCATGCAATCACACAGTTCACTTTCATAACAATAACCCACTATCCTTTTATCCAAAATCTTTTATTATTGCAATTTAACAAAAAGAAAACAAAAACAAAATGGACAGGTCACGCATAGGTCACGACTAGATACTGTGTTTCTTTGACTAGAGTAAAAGTAACTGGTGCTACCTAGTAAATGTATCAATCAAAATGTTCATACTTCTTACTCTTCCTAGTGTTTCTCCCTAAAATTGATGCCGACAAAAAGTAGGTCAAGTCGGGAACATTAGGCACCCGTCGTTTTTAAGTTTTACTAAATTGTTTATAAAAATTAAACCTTTGCTTTCAATTTGTAAATAATTACTAGAAATATTATTTCACAGTTTGTTGAAAGATAATTTTTATTTATGTTTGTTAGCGCAGCACTTCAAGTTCAACTGTTTTCTAAGCTGGCCAAATCTGGAGCTAGCCGGTTGCTGCAAACCACTTTGTTTCCAACCGGCAAATGACTGCCAATAATAAACGATCTATTTTGTCTGTGATAATAAATTTTACACTTCAAATTTTCCGGGCAAGTGAACAGCCGAAAGTCACTTGCGTTTCCGGGCAACTACCAGCTAAATTTTAGTTGCCCGGCTGATAAAACTAGTTGCGAAACGCAACCATCGCAAGTAGGTATGTCGGACTCTGAAATCTATAGTAAATAACTTTGCCTACCTTGCATGACAAAACCTTTTAATTGACTGTTGTTTTTTTCCTTTGCTTTTCCTTTTTCTCGTCATTTTGTCATCACTGGTAATCAGCAGAGCTGGAAATTCCCGGTTGCCCGCTCGTCAAATGCGACTAAAAATTTATTCTGACGACTAAAACTACAAAAGTCACAAGGGTTACTGGCCTAAAGTATTTGGTCTGGGCGAGTGATTTAAATTGGTCCTAAACGTATGGTTGCTCAATTAAAATGTTGAACAATTATGTGAATAAAAAAACGACCATTTCATCGTTGTTCATACCTTGTTTATACTAAAGAGAGGCACACTTGCTTTGACCTAAAACTTGCATATTATGACCAATCAGAGAAGATTACGTCATCCTCTGCGGGTCAGTGAAAGAAGAAGCATGTTTTAGTCGGGTAATTCAAATATCTTAAGAAAAAAATGAGACACTTGGGAATAAATTATGACATTTTCAACATGAGTCTGACCGTCAACAGTCAATGGACTAATCAACTTCGCCGATCTTCAAAGCCAAAGGTGTGCGTATTCGTACGCGCTGGGGCTCCAGCCAATGCGTAAAAACAGCAAAACAACGCGTAATTACGCACTCTCATACGCTAACGAGTTTACTGAGCCAATCAATACTTTTGTTGCACTTGGCCTAGTTTTCGTATTGATCGGTAACATTCTCTGAGAGTTCGCGGAGATTGCTGACTTTTGACACAGCATGGCTGCCAATCCCATGAAGGCGCCCCAAGTGAAGGTGAAAGTACAGACGTCGCTATTCAAATTTGGATTTGCTGGTAAAGTCGAAACCATTGTACGTGATACTGCTGTCGCTACTAACTGGACCTACTAACGCATCACACAGCAGTGACTTGACGAAAGACCAAAGAGACGAAAAAAAAAGGAAAACGTGTTTTTCAGCACACGTAGACCATTGAATACCCATGGCTCTTTACAACTACGGAAACTACGGATATCGATGAAGGAACCTCTAAAATGTTTTGCAGAGATTGTACCTTTTATCCCCTTATTTCAAAGGGCAACAGTTTCTTGGAGGGGTGTTCAACGTTTAGGCTGAGCGTTATTGAATTTCATGCCACACCGTCGTGCCACTTGGGTTACAGTGCATTGAAGGGTGGTGCTATTAGCCAGGACCAGTTAGAAGGGACACCCATAGTCAAATCTTTACTGAGGCAAGAATCACTTTCATCTGAAGTCAAGCAGAAACTACATACATTATTTACTGTTGTCTACTGTGTTCCAAAAAACGGGAAACCAATAAGTCAAACAAGTAAGTTAACACAAAATATGTAAATTGTATGAAGTCAATTTGTAGTGAACTCTGACAGTGTTTTGAAGTATTCTGATTATTGTGATTCCCACTAAGTAAAGAAGACTAAATTAAAATTATGATGTATGTGTGTACATGTAGTTGTGAGGTGAACATTTATTTATTATTATTATTTTGCATATTTATTCAAGTAATCTGTCATATAATGTGTGTGTCACTGTTAACAACTTTTATCATTACAAAGTGCACCATGGCACTGTTTACAGATTTAACAAAATATATTGAATATTCCATTTTTAGGTGAGATGGGTTGCAAGCAAGTTCAAGGCACTGCAAGCTGTACAGAAGTCACTACTGCCTCTTGTTCTTCACCTTGAAAGCACAGGCTCACTTCAGGATGAATATGCTACCACAACATTATTTTCTTATTATTACATGATTGTGTCCAGATTGTGAATACAGTCACAGTTACAAAACTGACAATCCCTTGTTTCCATATCTGCCCTTCTTAAGGGGCATTTGGGACAGTGTGGCCAAACATGTGCCCAGTTCCAGGTCCTGCACTTAGCCAGTGCTCTACAGATTGTTCTGGGTGAAAGTCTTTAAGTTCTGGACCTTCCTGTGCTATGTGCATAAGGCACTGGAGGTTTTCTTGATTCAGACTTGCTGTAAGCCTGCTTCTTACATTTTTCATCAATGAAAAACTTCTTTCACACTTGGCTGTTGTTGGTGATATCACTAACATTATCTCAATTAGCTTAATAATATGAGTAAAAAATAATGTAACTAGTAGTTGAAATGTGGAATAAATCTACAAAAGTGATTCAAGACTTTATTTTTTGTTTTTATTACCAATACATTCAGTAACTGCAGTTGTTAATAGTAATACATTTAGTACTCTGAAATAAGTCCTGTGTGTGTGGTGGGAATGCAGAACTTAATTGCCTGCAGAGTCTGTACTTGTAGCCACCTTTCTTGAGACGGGCAGAATCAGTGCATTTTGGAGCATGTTGAATTTTGGCACTAACATGCCCAGGGCAAGTAAACCTCCAAAAAATGTGAAAAGCCCTTCTCAGTAACCACCTTCACATTCAAACATTGTACCAGCTGGATCGATCCAACTCTGTGGGAGATTCTCACTAAATAGATCTTTTTCCACAAATATGTGCACATGTGAGGCAACTGACAACTTCAAAGTTCCAGACCATCACACCCAGTCCCGGAGGCCAAACAGTAAAGATAGTTGTAAATTTGTCAGTAAATTTCCCTTAGTTAAGCAAAACAGTTAGATGAACAGTCTGTGCCATAAACTTCTCAGCTTACTCTTCATTCAGACCTCCAGTTTTCTCATATCTGCAGGCCCAAATTAAAATTCACTGGTCAAAAAAAAAAAAAAAAAAAAAAATTCAATCATATCAGACATTTACCCTTATTACATTTCTTTTTAGTATTAAAATATTAGAAATAGCAAATTTAAACCCTGATTTTGTTGAATATTTTTATTTAGAATCCTGTAACTTATACATTTCAGGAAAAAAATCAAATTGAAAATGTCTTCTGAAAACTTATCTTTTAGATTTTTTGTCATCATTATAATAATTGGATTCTTAATTGGAGTCATCTTAATCCTAAAAAAGAAAATGGGGAGATTATTTCACTTTTTTCCTTGTTCACTTAGCAATTATTTAAATAAACTACCTGTACATTGAAAGGTATTGCTTATTGATATTATTTTAGCTCCTGCTTGTGATTCTTACTACAAATAAACTAGCAGTCCAATTCTAGATAATGATCAGTGAACTTTCAGTGAAAGTAATTGATAAAGTATATAAAATAATATTTAATTAAAAAGATCTTTAGCTAATACTGTCTTCATCCATTTTTGGCAACTCGAACACAACTGTTAGAGGAGCATGCAACACAACTGACAGAGGAGCAGATGGGGCATGCTGTTTAATGTGATTGACTTTCTTTCTTCCTCCTCATCATGCTTGTTAAAACATAAGTGATGATATAAGTAACAGAATAAGAATAATATTTTTATTGTTTCACTAGACTTTATTTTGATAAACAAGTACTTCTAGAGCCTAAAATGAGTAAAACAATTGATCAGAACAGTTTTTAATTTTATCTTTATTTGCATATGACTTATAACTAACTATGCAGCATTGGTACCTGATAACATCTCAATCATCAGTCATTACCACATGGCCTGCACTTTGAATATTTGACTGGTAACTTCTTAATAAAACAGTGCAAAGTCTGGCTTGTACATTTTCAGTTTGGCCTGTAACTTTCAAAACTCACTGGCCAAATTGGCCTGTGCTATTTCAAACGAAGGTCAAA